TTGGCAGCAAATTAAAGAATTCCGGGGTTTTGTCCTTTCTGGGGGAATTTCAGCAGAAAATTGGCCGAGAGCCCTGCTTTGACAGGTATTCCCCCCCCCCCCCAGTCTCCTTCGTCTGAGCAAGCGATTGGCTGGAGATCCAGCAGGTTGCTTTGATGGGGTTTTTTTAATTAATTAATTTATTTTTTAGAAATGTCAGCCAGCTCTGGCAGGATGGCTTCAAAGTCCCGGGGTTCGAAGTTAGAAGGAAATCCTTGAGAGGGCAGAATTAATTGAAAGACAAGATTGCGGGGGGCTGCCCCCAGGCCAGGGTTAAAACTTGTGGGGTGGAAATTACACAAAGGCCCATGTTGGCTAGGCGTGAATGGAATGGAAGGGAATGGAATAATGGAATGGGAATAGAGTAGAGTAGAGTAGAATAGAGTAGAATAGAATAGAATAGAATAGAATAGAATAGAATAGAATAGAATAGAATAGAATGGGAATAGAATAGAATAGAATAGAATAGAATAGAATAGAATAGAATAGAATAGAATAGAATAGAATAGAATAGAATAGAATAGAATAATTTGATCCCAGAACTCTAACCAGTTTGCCATAGAAAAAAATGCAGCACTGGCCCAAAACAATTAAAAATAAAATTAGACATTTAAATGCAACTTGAAATGAAGGACAGCTCAAGCAATAATGAATGGGGTTGTTTTTCCCCTGTTTAATTAGCAGACCTTTAGCCCTTCGTGAGGAGAAGGGGTGGGTGGGAAGGAGTAAGTAGAACATTTAGAGTGAGACGCTTTGCTGGGGGACCTTTGTCTAGCCTTGAATGGCGTAAATTGGGCTTCCTGAACCGGACAAGCGCTCGGTGTAAATCAAGAGAGCCCTCATTACCTCTAGGAAAGGCTGGGAACGCTCTTTGTAAAAGCAGCAAGTGCTCCACTCTCCTTGGCAAAGTGGGAACTCTCCCTTCAAAGTCCTCACTTCGTTAATTGGATGGACGCAACGGAGCGGCTCTTTGCCTTTCAAAGGCCTGGAGCCGAGTCCCCTCGGATTTCAGACCCTGTTAGAACCCGTCGCCCCCTTCTTCAGCTTTTCCGAGTCCCATCAGCGAGCAGAAATCGTCTCGCGGCTGGAAGCTCCTCTGAGTCTTCCTTGCAACCGGTGTGGAAAGTCTGGACAGTTCGTCCAACTCTTTGGAGCGTTCCCACGGAGCGGTGGGCTGGTTTCGAAGATTGTTTTGCACCGACGGAGGTGAATTAATCCATTAGCCAGTGGAACGTCTTGCCACCAGAACTTGTGGGTGCTTCATTGCTGGACAACCATTTGTCTGAAAGGGCCTAGGCCAGGGGTAGGCAACCTTGGCTCTTTTATGACTCGTGGACTTCAACTCCCAGAATTCCTGAGCCAGCCAAGCTGGTAGGTAGATGGGTAGACGAAGATAGATAGATAGATAGATAGATAGATAGATAGATAGATAGATAGATAGATAGATAGATGGATGGATGGATGGATGGATGGATGGATGGATGGATGGATGGATGGATGGATGGACGGACGGACGGACGGACTGACTGACTGACTGACTGACTGACTGATATACTTCATTGAGTACATCATACACACACACACAAACACACACACAGAGAGGGATGTAGCATGATGCCTGAAGGCTGACTAACTGATTGATATACTTCATTGGGTACATCATACACACACACACACACACAAACACACACACAGAGAGGGATGTAGCATGATGCCTGATTTGGTTCCTACCAATCGTGTGCAGGGGATGCGTGACCCCCTTTGGTAGCTGGCAGCACTTAAATAATTAAAAATAATGCTAAAACCAAGGAGACTTGCTTTAAACTTATTCCTTTCTAGCCTGCCCTCTTTTTTAAAAAATAAAAAATTGGGAATGAGGGCGCTAACCTGCCCTCACAGCTGCGATGACACTCTGGATTTTGTTATTTTATGATTTTTGCCGGAAGCTTTTACTTCAGAAAAAAAGAGAGGACTTGGGGTTGTCCTGCTTTGAACTTGCTCCCATTTCTCGTTCTCCCTTGTGAACCAGCCTGTCCAAAACCGGACAGACTACTTCCCATTTTCTTGACGTTGGCTTGGCTTTTTTTGCCCAGTCGTGCAACCTCAGTGGACCAGGAGTATAAAAATGATCTGTATCTTTGCTACGTGTGAGCTTTGCATCCCCTGGGCCTACCTGTCCCTTTTATTTAAATCTCGCTCTGTGGAGCGTTCCTCTTTCTCTCTCTCTCTCTCTCCTTCCAGCTATCTTCTGGATTTCCGAGCTGTCGCCAACTCAAGCCACCCTCCACCTGGAGCCTCAAAAAAATTAAAATGAATCTTTTCGTCCTCGCTCTCCCGCTTCTTTTGAGCCAATGGCCAGATGAGTGATTTCCCCAGTCCTAAATCTGTCACTTGTTCCTAATGTCTGGAATCGTGAAACCTGCCACTTAATCCCCAGGTGCCTGCTCAGATGAATCTCTTGATTGATGGGACTTTAATCTACCTGTCTTGACCCCCCCCCCCCGGGTCCAAGCTTCTCTCGCAAGTACACGCCGTCTCGAAAGGCTGGATTCTCATTATGGGGGAAAAAAAGAGAGAAATAAGGGTAGGGTTTTTGCTTTTTGTTTTAAGGTATGATGGTTCTTCCGTGGGAGCTCCAAGCGAAGAGACTTCCAGATTAGATCGGAATAGCGGCAGCTCAGATTTAAAAGAAGGTGGAAGAGCCAAGAAAGAAGAATATTTGGATCCCAGGGTGGAAAGGAGGGATCCTTGGATCCCATGAGCTTCACCTGCGAAGTGACAACTCGCTTCCCCCAGAAGTGTCAAACCGAAGTTGTGGTTCCTCTTCGCCTTTTATTCTGCCCACGTGGGAAAGTTGCATTGCGATGCGTTGCACGTCACTTATCTCTCTCGCGCTTGATGCCTCTGCGAATGACACCCAACGAGAAACATCTCTTTCCCTTACAGCAGTGGTTCTCAATCTGTGGGTCGGGACCCCATTTGGGGTCGAACGACCATTTCACGGGGGTCGCCAAACAACGCAGTCCGCCATTTTTTCCCCCCTTTTCCTTAGCTGTGCTCCTCCCTTTTATTCTATTGGCTTTGGAAAGCCAATAGAAGAGATTCTCTTGAATAGAGTCTAATTCTATTGGCTTTCAAGAGCCAATAGGAATTGTCCAGGCTGTCTCTGCCCTGCTGAGCCCGCCAAAAGTCCCATTCTGCAAACGGTGCTGCACCCGTTGAGTAGTCCTCGACTTACGACCGGTTGAGTAGTCCTCGACTTACGACCGGTTGGGGGTCACGGCATTAAAAAGGTTGAGAACCACTGCCTTAGAGGGATGTGAAAATGCTCCTAAGGAAATCTCCCTGGAATGCTTTTATTTCTTCTGGATGGGCGTTTGGAGAAGCGCAGGAGCAGAACTGGGATGGGAAGAACGGCTCGCTTGGCGTCTCTCTCTCTTTTTTTTTTTTTTAAAACAGGTAGATGGTGGTTTGGCTTCTTTTTTTCAGCGGGAACTGAGTTTAAACAGTGGTTGGTAACCAAAGGTGCTTTTTCAAGAGTTCAAGAGTGGAGGGACGCAGGGCAGAAAACATCCTGCAGAAAGCACAGCTCCACAGCACGGTCCTTTCAGCGGTGCCAAGAAGACTCCACACCCATTTGCACCACTCAGCTGACCCCCAAGGGGAGAGACGAGACTCCAAGTGGTCTCAACGACTCTCTCAAAGGATGCAAATGACCAGCTTTTTCTGCAAGGAGTATAAATCCTTCCCTTCCTCACCATAGACTTTGGTCGGTCGGTGCCATCTTGTGTGCTTCTTCCGATTTCTCCTTTGGATAGCTTGAGGACAAAGCCAGATAATTACACGGAGGCTTAATTGGAAATCCTTATCAAATGTTTACCTTTGGAAGACGAGCACAAACTGGTTTCCTGAACTGCAGAAAGCCCGCTGGAAAACCCAACCTGACTCTTTATTTTGATTTTTTCTTTCTTTCTTTCTGTGATCTAACAACTGTAACTCTATCGGTCTTCTCTCGCCCCGTCCCTCTTCTGTTATCTGACCTACTTGGCTAGGACAGGGCAATTCTCTCTAAACAGGAGCAATTAAGTAAGATGCCCCGAAGACTTACCTAACAGGAGAGAACTTTGCTAAAGCAAGTTAATAGCTGGGGGGTCATTGTTTTCATAAAGCCGAAATGTTCCTTATCCAGTCTGCGCCGGAATTCCTTCCACAAAGAGCGAAGCACGAAAGAGCTGGGTCTTTGCACCAATTGACGATGTCCCCCCAAGTCCTTGTCAAGTCTTTGCAAGCACCTAGATGGATTTTTCTCCCTGATGATCTACCCCAAACCTGACCTTTCAGATCTTCGAACAATGCCCTCCTCAGCACTGTAATGGAGTCCCTTTACCTTGCTATTGTTTGTCTTCTTCTTTTCCTTCCTTCTGTCCTTCTAGCATCAGAGCTTTCTCCTCTATCCGCGGAAGGATTTCTTATTCGCTAGCATTTGAGGATGTTAACCTAGTTTGGGTAATGAAACGTCTGCAAGAAAACAAGCAAGCTCAGAGAGCACCAAGGACCCCACATGTCATATTCTGTTCTATGATGGATCTTTCCCCCCCCCCCCCAAAAAAATGCCTAAAAGTCATTCACTAGTGAGCAAGTGTGGCCATCGTTCTCATCCTTCTACCTTTTAATAATAATAATAAAAATGATAAAAATGATAAAATAATGATAAAGTTAGAAGGGACCTTGGAGGTCATCTAGTCCAACCCCCTGCTCAGGCAGGAAACCCTATACCATTTCAGACAAGTGGCCGTCCAGTCTCTTTTTAAAAACTTCCAGTGTTGGAGCATTCACCGCTTCTGGAGGCAGGCGGTTCCACTGGTTAATTTTTCCGACTGTCGGGAAGTTTCTCCTTAGTTCCAGGTTGCTTCTCTCCTTGGTGAGTTTCCATCCATCGCTTCTTGTCCTGCCTTCAGGCGCTTTGGAGAATAGCTTGACTCCCTCTTCTTTGGGGCAGCCCCTGAGATACTGGAAGACTGCTATCATGTCCCCCCTCATCCTTTTGAAGCAGATATTCCTAACTTTGAATCCATCGCTCACTTTTGTTTTAACGTCTGCAGAAATAAACCCCCCAAAAAGTTTTTTTTTAAAGAAAAACAGGACCGTTTCTTTTGCATCCCAATTCCTCTGTGTTGTTGCACAGAATGCCTTCATACACACACACCCCCCATCCTAAATTTGTCCTATCCACCGATGAACTATTTGCATATGATTGCAGAAAGTGTGTTTTTCCGGGAAACCGGGAAAGCTGTTTCATTAACACCTCCCTCATTCTTTCAACAGCATGAGCGACTCTCGTCCCCAGAACTCGCTCCGTACTTCGGCACGCAGCGCAAGGACGTTTAGAACCCTGTTGGGAAATTTATTAAATTTGGACAGAATTTTGTTTCTCCTGCTCAGAATTGGGCGAGCAAGAACTTCCTTCTTCGCCTCTTGTTTTTAAAGAAAATTTGGGTCAGAATCCACAGCGCTGTTGTCTTTTTTTTAAGCGGGACAGAGATTTGTCCGACAGAGGCAGCCCACTCAGGGAAAACAACAAAATAAGATAAAATAAAAACGGTCTGAGTTTCCTACAGCGGCAGGGCCTCTAATGCACACACGAGCACAAACACACACACAGACACACAACCTTTAAATCTCTCCACCGGATAAAACAGAAGCAAGCGATGGCTTGGGGATTAACCAGATTTAAGCTGCAGGCGAACAGGAATTGCTGGCGGTGAGCTTGGGATAGCTTTTTTTTCCCTCTCCTCCCATCCTCCTCTGGACTGGACGAATTTTCCGGGTAAGCACTTCTACAACAGCCCCTTTTGGAAAAGGAAAGGCAGGAAGAAGGCTTGGCTTGGTTCTGAACACGTGAATTGGGCTCTCTAGCCTCTCCAGGACACGCAGAAAAACAAGATCTGGATCAAAGGCGGGATTAAGCAGGAACCCAGATGCATCCCAAGCGGTGCCCATCACCGTCTGTGGCCACCGCCGTGCCAAGGCCGGAGGGCTTCCTTCTGCACTGCCCATCCCAACTTCTCCGCAAACTGGCATCGGAAGCTCATCAGGGTTTCAAGTCAGATGTGGCGGGGATGGGCGCTCCCCAGCACTAGCCAGCGCTGTCGAGGACAGACAGCTGTCACTCACAAAGAACACATCTAATAACCCTCCAGATAAGGCAGGAGAAGAAATGGGAGGACGAGAGCCATGGAGCTGCCCTTTCTCACCTTTCTCCAACTGTGGCTAGTTCCTGGGGAGAATGGAGGATGAGACACTGCAAGCAAGAAAAAAGAAAAGAAGATATATGTAGATATATATTTAATTTTGTGGCTGGTTGCTTTTTTAATTCCTCAAAGCCGTAGGCTGGGGACTAATCCAGGTTTGCCTCGTCGCCTCCAAGACGGACAGGAATGAACTCCCGAGCAAACTTGGCTGGAATGGCGTCCGGTTCTTCTTTTTTGTTCAAAAAAGGAAAAAAGGACAATTAGAGGTTGAGTCGGAGAAGGCTCAGTTCTGTTTTGCTCCTGAAGATCCGTGGGACTTGTGGAGCTTTGGACCCAAGGCAGGAGTCTTCTGGCATGGATCAATCCTTGCCTTCTCTGCTCCAAAGCAAACTTTTGGTTGCCCGCCTGGTGGAAGAGTTTTTCTGGGTTGGGGGCAGCGTTGTGGCGGCGCCCAAATGGAAGATGTTTGGAATTGGTAAGAGCAGCGATGGGACCCCAGAGTCCCTTTCCTCCAGAACAAGGGGGTCTCCAAGCTTGGCAACTTTACAACCTGTGGACTTCAACTCCCAGAATTCCTCAGCCAGCATGGCTGGCTGAGGAATTCTGGGAGTTGACGTCCACAAGGCATAAAATGACCAAGGTTGGAGACCCCTGCAATCAGGTCTTCTAAGATAAGATATCATGACAGGTTTGTCTATTGACATTCGCAGAGAGGCTGTGCCAGGCTTGGCCAGCTCATCAAACGTTGCCCGATCGCCGGTGGAACTCCCTGCCACAAGAAGGAGTAACCACGGCCAGTTAGGATGGCTTTAAAAGGGGGATAAAATATACGGAGGTGGAGGTTCTCACTAGCCTACTGATTGTCCGTACAGTACATATCTTGTAGAATTTTGGCTAGTTGTGTATCTTAATATCGCAGTTAAGAGTCTGTGCGTCTGAACACACAAATATATCAGGCGTTGGTGTGTCCGTTAGCAAGAAGGGAGTCCCCCGAACTGTTTTTAATACAGCTTTACTGATAATTTAGCTATAATTTATTTGAACGCGGCCAGACACAGACACTCTGTCCATTTGATTCCTATATTGGTTTTGTGGGGTATTTTGGGAAAGATTTGGCCCCTAAATACCTATTCCGTTTTTCGTTCCCAAAGTAAAAAAATTCCCACCTTTTTTTAAAGGATTTCATTTCATCTGTAACTTGATTAAGGAGGGGAAAAAAAGCAGTTGATTTTCTTTGCAAAGTTCCGTTTTGACGTTCCGAGCCCTATCAAGTTGTTTTAAAAAATGGCTGGTAAAAATGTAAATTTAAACGTTGGCCCTGAATCTCTGCAAATCCTTCCTTGTGGCTTCTTCGTTTTAATTGACTGGTTAAAATGTTATTCTCATTAGAGACAGCTTTTTTTTTTTTTTCCCCTAGCTGAGGTTTTGACTTTTCTGTGGCACTTGCTTAGCATTTTAAAAATAATGGCTTTTTTTTTTAATTAGGGTTATGCTCATATTTTAAATGTTACGGTTTATTTTAAATGTCGTGGCCGCTATAAACCGGTCTTTCTGCCTTGTTCCTTCAATGCAGAGGTGGACGCTTGCGCAATAAGTGGGTCACCTTGTGACTTTGAAGGTTTTACTTGCGTTACATAATCCTCTGATTCTCCAATTAGGACATCATCATCCGAGTTGGAAGGGACCCTGGAGGTCTTCTAGTCCAGCCCCCTGCTCTAGCAGGAGACCCTATTCCATTTCATGCAGTTAGGGGTGCAGTACTGCAGGCCACTTTAGCTGACTGTGTTCAGCAGGTGAGCGGTTCAAATCTCACCGGCTCAAGGTTGACTCAGCCTTCCATCCTTCCGGGGTAGGTAAAATGAGGACCCAGATTGTTGGGGGCAATGTAAATATATATATATATATATATATATATATATACATTGCTTACTGGTGTACACCGCTTAGAGAGTGCTTGCACTTAAAGCGGTATATAAGTCTCATAAATAAATAAATGCCAATGGCTGTCCAGTTTCTTCTGAAAAACCTCCCGTGGTGAAGCACCCACAGAGTCTGGTGGCCAGCTGTTCCGCTGATTAATTGTTCAGACTGTCAGGAAGTTTCTCCTTAATTCCAAGTTGCTTCTCTCCTTGATGAGTTTCCATCCGTTGCTTCTTCTCCTGCCTTTTGGGGGCTTTGGAGAAGAGGTGGACCCCCCCCTCTTCTTTGTGGCAGCCCCTCAAATATTGGAAAACTGCAATCCTGTCTCCTCCTATTCCTTCTTTTCACTAAATCAGTCATACCCGATTCCTGCAACGCTCCGCAGGGTTAGCGCTCAGACTGCTCAAGTACTTTGGGAATGGTCCTGGGTGGCAAATAAAATCCAAATGGCTGAGGAAGATCTGAACCCTTCCACCCATCAGGAGCTGGTACATGTTCCCTTGTCCACGGCGTTCGGAGGACGAACAGACACAGCGGCTTTGTTTGCCTGTTTGACTTAAGAGGTTTTCTGGCAGGCATCCCTTGGTGCCACCAGGCGCCCTTTTCTGCAACAAAGGGCATCAGTCCCTCGTGTTTCATCTTTCAGCCCCCCCCCCCAAAAAATATTAAAACTGTCGAGGCCGCCGTTCAGCTGTCGATCTAGAGATGAACACCTGCAAATCCTATTAACATCCCAGTCAGAATTGGGGTGTGTGTGTCTGTTTGAATACCCCCTGTCTCAGTTTAAGAATTACGCATCGACTGTCAGCTCTGAAGCTGAAAAATTCAATTAATATTGACTTGGAGAAGTTTGACTTGAGACATGATGGATAATTTTAATCTCTTTTGCTTGCCTCTGGGGAGGGGGGCACCCGACAAGAGGTATTTCAAACCGTAGAGGTAGATCTGTAATTGGGGAAGGGGTTAAATATCTTTATTTATCACTTCCCCAAGCGAAACATGATTATTTAAAACACCCAACAGTTGAAGTATGGCGGCCAGACCCTCACATCTGTTGCTCTGCTGCAGTTTCATATCATGCAAGCTGACCTGCAAATTTCCCCTGTCAGATCAGAATAAAATAAAAACCAAATCAAAGAACAGTGCTGTCACTTTTTTTCCGCCAGGGTGCATGTCAAATGTTTTATTTTTATTCCCCTTTTAAAAGGGCGCTTTGCCCTCTTACCCAAAAACGACACAAAGATCAGTTGGACTTGTCCTTCGGAGCTGCTGTCAGTTTCCCAGCGAAAAGCACAAAAAGGAAGTCCTTTTTCCTGAGAGTTTAGCAGCCTTGGAATGAAAGAATAATTAAAGTTTTTAATTAAAACCTTAAATGAAATTAAAGGTGGCCGTTTGTCCGGGATGGTATAAGGTCCACCGCCTTGGGTAAGGGGGTTAGACTAGAAGACCTCCAAGGTCCCGTCCAGCCCACTGTCTCTATGATTCCACATGAAGAATCCATACAACAAGTTCTATGGAGATCTATTCTCTATAGATCTCGCCGGCTATTAAAACAGAATTCGGTGCCATTTTAAGAGAACACATCGCTCAGATCCAGCTGCTAGGCAGTAACTAAGAAAAAGAGTCAACGCAACCGGAAACTTAAGGTAATAAAGAGTAATAAGATTGTGTTGCAATTTGGGCTTAAGATTGACAAAAGACTGCGAGGTAATGAAGGATAAATAGCAGGCCCTGCCTGGAGTAAATCCATCAGACCAGCAGATTTACCCCATTCGCAAATCTGGCATCTTTTCCCCTCCCTGGAATGCAGTTATATATTGATTTTCACACCAGTCTGTGTTTTGAGATGCAGCTCGCAGCTAAAATAAATGCCTGCAAAATTCCACACTGGGATTTGCAGGTGGGAATGCATTTTTCTCAACCCACACCGTGATTTGCCCATAAAAGCTTCATTGTCTTGACCTCTGAAAATGGAGCTTGCAGCGCGATGCGCACGCCCTTTAGCCTAACAAATCTGTGTTTTGTTTTGTCTCCCTTTCTTTCTTTCTCTCTCTTTCTTTCTTTCTTTCTTTCTTTCTTTCTTTCTTTCTTTCTTTCTTTCTTTCTTTCTTTCTTTCTTTCTCTCTTTCTCTCTCTCTCTCTCTCTTTCTCCCTCCCTCCCTTCTTTCCTTCCTATCTTCTTCCTTCACCCCTCTCTATCTTTCTCCCTCATTTCCTATCTCCTTCCTTCCTTTCTCTCTCTCTACCTTCCTTCCTTCTTCCTTCACCCCTCTCTCCCTCCCTCCCTCCCTCCCTCCCTCCCTCCCTCCCTTCCTTCCTTCCTTCCTTCTTTCCTTCCTTCCTCTCTCTTCCCCCTAGTGGAAAAATGCATGAGCTCCATGCAAGCTGGCACTCAGATGATCAAACTCCGAGGCAGCTCCAAAGGCCTCGTTCGATTCTACTACCTGGACGAACACAAGTCGTGCATTCGCTGGAGGCCCTCGCGAAAGAACGAAAAAGCGAAAAGTAAGTGAAAGGCTTTCGTTGGCCGGTCCGCGACGACAACGTCACAGATCAGAATGATGATGTGACACGTCTCGTCCGGTGTTTTGTGTTAGGCAGTAGCCAACCAGGTGCTTCTGGTAGTAGAGAGTCTCCCTTCCGTGTTGTTACTCCGTGGCTACCATTGATTTTTAAATTCCTGCACAAGCAGTCCTTGACTTACAACCACAAGTGACCCTCAGATTTCTCTTGCTAAGCAAGACAGGTGTTAAGTTGAATTTCCCCCCGTTTTGCGACCTTCCTGGCCGCATTTGTTAAATGAAACACGACAGTTGCTGTGAAAGGAATCTGCCTTTGCTCAGAGGAATAAAATACGGAGCTGGAAGGGACCTTGGAGGTCTTCTAGTCCGTCCCTCAGCCTGCCCAGGCAGAAAAAACCGTCCCGTTTCAGACCAAGGGCCGTCCAGTCTCTTCTTTAAAAAAAGGCGAAGAAGCACTGCATTCTAATTCTGCCATTTTTCTCCCCTTCCCTCCTCCCTCTCACCCCCGCAGTCTCCATAGATTCCATCCAGGAAGTGTGCGAAGGCAAGCGGTCGGAGATCTTCCAGCGCTACGCCGACGGCAGCTTCGACCCCAACTGCTGCTTCACCATCTACTATGGGGACCACATGGAGTCCCTGGACTTGGTGTCCTCCAACGGGGAGGAAGCGCGGATGTGGATCACCGGCCTCAAGTACCTCATCGCCGGGATAAGCGATGAAGACAGCCTCTCCAAAAGGCAGAGGACGCGAGACCAGTATCCTTTGGGGCTGAGGGGGTGCAGGGCTCGTAGGACTAGATGACCTCCAAGGTCCCTTCCAACTTTATTATTAATGCCATCGGTGTGTGTGTGTGTGTGTGTGTGTGTGTGTGTGTGTGTGTGTTTGTGTGTGTGTGCGTGCGAAGGCCCTTTTTGCTTATCTTCCTCTTTGGGCCCAGAGGTCCTTTCATATCTGAAAAAAAAGAAAAAAGAAAGGGGAAAAGATAACGTAAGGAACAAGGGAAAAGAAGAAGAAGAAGAAAAAAGACACTGACTTCCGACTTTTTTTTTTTTTAGCACAATACAAGGTAGAATCACTCCAGCCACAACGTTTTGCTTTTACACATTCGTATATAATAGCATATGCTGATTTTTCTGCCTCTGTTGACTCTTCCTCCTCCTCCTCCTCCTCCTCCTCCTCCTCCTCCTCCTCTTCTCCACACACCCCACTTCCTTCTAGAACTGATGATGTTACCTAATTGGGTCATGAAACGTCTGCAAGAAAACAAGCAAGCTCAGAGAGCACCAAGGACCCCACAGTCGTCGTCCTCCTCCTCCTCTTCCTCCTCCTCCTCCTCCTCCTCCCCCCCCTTCTCCTCCTCCTCCTCCCTGAGCTGTCCTTTCCTTAACTCCCGCTAAAGGTGGTTGAAGCAAACCTTTGACGAGGCGGATAAAAACGGCGATGGCAGCCTGAGCATTAACGAAGTCCTCCAGCTGATGCACAAGCTGAACGTCAACCTCCCCCGTCAGAAAGTGAAACAGATGTTCAAGGTAAGAGGCTCCCATCGTGCACCACGGCGTCTAATGAAGGCAGGTGGAGGCGCTTGGAGGGACAGCCGACCTCGGGGCCTGCAGCTCTGGCCGTCTCCCACCTCGGGCTCACCGCCAGATGTTGGGGTTGGCAGCTTGGCAGGCTTGCAAACGGGCCCTGCCACAGCTGTTCACCCAACTTATAATAATAACAACAACAAAAACAACAATAAAGTTGGAAGGGACCTTGGAGGTCATCTAGTCCAACCCCCTGCTCAGGCAGAAAACCCTAGCTGACGATGTTACCTCGTTTGGGTAATGAAACATCTCCAAGCCGACAATCAAACTCGGAGAGCACCCAGGACCCCTCATGTCACACCTAAGCTACAAATATTCTCCTTTATTAGTTTTCTTGCCTTTCATTCGCACTGATGGTGTTACCTAGGTTGGTAACGAGACGTCTGCAAGAAAACCACCCAGCTCAGAGAGCACCCAGGACCCCATAAAGGATTGAACCTGCCAGGCTGTTGAGAATCTTTTAAACTGAGATCTAACCCACCTTGGGACAAGTTGTGTGGTTGGGCTGTACTTACATTCTCAGACTGAGCAGCCCGTATGCTGGTCTGTCAGTCAATCTTCGCTTTCCCTACTTAAATCTATTATTTAAAATTGCCAGGGCTAAAATCTCTCTTCGTTTTTCACAGATCTTGCCCAGCTCATTGATGCAACACGGGGGGGAAAAATCCCTTCTAAAATCTCTTAGAATTGCTCCCAATCAATCTGGCCCATACTTAGCCAGAGGCAGTAATGTCAAAAAAAATTGAAGCCATTTCTGTGAAAGTCAGCAAAAGAGAACTTGTGTCTATTGTTAGTCCCCCTTTTTTTTAATAAGCTCTCTCCTTTTTTTTTTTTAAATTCCTCCTTTTTTCCTCTGCCTCAATTAGCTGCCCCTGCAAATGCCCGCCATAAAGAGATAGCAGCAGCCTGGAAAGTTAGAAATAATACTCTCTTTAATGTTGGAAGATTAAGAAAAGAAATACTTCCATTTGTCGAGAGAAAGTGGTGTGCCTTTGCACTAGTGGAGAGAGAGAGAATTAAATGGGAAATAGATATGCCGATTATTGCTAAAGATGTACCAGACTATTTCAAAGGAACACTATTAATTTGTTAAAGCGAGTTTTTAAATGTCTGGCAAGGAAATTTCATGCTTCTCCCCCCCCCCTGTAAAACTTAATTTGCCATCTATCTTGAGTTCTGACATAAAATTGGCGCACTGCAGTAGGGACCTCTTGATTTTCCTGTGGTTCGTTAAATCGTTGTGTCATTCCTGGGTTTTTGAAAGAAAAAGAAATTGTTTTGCCTGTTTAATCCATGCCGTGATATCATCACACATCAAAGCCCGCTTAGAGGGTGATTGGCAGGCAGGATGCCAGCTTTGGCAATCAATTGACACCTTCCCCTGCCAGCAGCTGGGGGAATCTTTATTGAAATTTCCCATTTCTCCCCACAAGTTGAAATGTTCCCAGCAAAGTCCTAATAAGCTCCATGTAAATTGGTCGGAGAATGCACTAAGAGGGACAGAAAATAGATGGCGTGATCAAATGAGGTTTTCAGCAGGATCTGCCATCTCAAGTCACTGAACACCATATTTGATACAGGTGGAATATAGTAGAAGCAGGACAGGTGTAAAAAAAAAATCCAGGGTTTTTTTGTGTGTGTGACCCTTCCTTTCTTCTTTCCTTCCTTCCTTCCTTCCTTCCTTCCTTCCTTCCTTCCTTCCTTCCTTCCTTCCTTCCTTCCTCTCTCCCTCCCTCCCTCCCTCCTTCCCTCCCTCCCTCCCTTTCACCTTCCTTCCTCTCCCTCCCTCCCTCACCTTCCTCCCTCCCTCCCTTTCACCTTCCTTCCTTCCTTCCTCTCCCTTCCTCCCTCCCTCCCTCCCTCCCGCCTTCCTTCCTCCCTCCCTCCCTCGCCTTCCTTCCTCCCTCCCTCCCTCCCTCTCTCTCACCTTCAATGACAAGCCAAGAAACATCATTTTCCTGCGAAGTGAGGAATTCCACCTGTGCTGGAATTGTGCATGTGAAGTTTAGTGAAGAGAAGGACTAGAGCTGGCAAGAGAGCAGCCTTTCAATATTTGAGGGGCTGCCCCAAATAAGAGGGGGGGGTCAACTTATTTTCCAAAGCGCCTGAAGAAGGCAGGACAAGAAGCCATGGATGGAAACTAACCAAGGAGAGAAGCAATCTGGAACTAAGGAGAAACTTCTTAACAGCGAGAACAATGAACCAGTGGAACAGCTTGCCACCAGACGTTGTGGGTGCTCCATCCCTGGAGGCTTTTAAGAAGCGATTGCACAACTGGTGTAGGATTTCCTCCAAGCTCCTGTCCAACTCTGTCATTCTAGGTATGATCTGCTCTCCCCTCCCCTTATTTCCACAGGAGGCTGATACGGATGACAACCAGGGCACCCTGGACTTTGAGGAATTCTGCGCTTTCTACAAGGTGATGTCCACCCGGCGCGACCTGTACCTCCTCATGCTCACCTACAGCAACCACAAGGACTTCCTAGATGCCGAGGACCTCAAGCGCTTTCTGGAGACCGAGCAAAAGGTAGGCGTGAAGCCTGCGCCCCTCCCGGCATCGCGCAGCCCTCCTTCGGCTCTCTCCCATTTCCTGGGTTTTAGCGGCCTGCAGACCCACAAAAACAAAGGCAGGCCTTGACTTTGCTTGACAAACACTCGCCAAAGGGGATTGCAGGATCCCGGGGTCCCTGCAACCGTCATAAATAGGAACCAGCCTCTGAATTTTGATCCCGTGACCACGGGGAGGCTGCAACGGTCGTAAGTGTGAAAATCTGGTCCTAAGTCCCCTTTGTCAGGGCCGCTGTAACTTTGAACGGTGCCCAGAAAGTTTGTAAAACGGAGCAAAATTCACCTAACCAGTGTCTCGCTTAGCGGCAGAAAATTTTGGCTGAGCTGTAGCCGTACGTTGAGGACTACCTGTACCTGTTCTTCTCCTTGCTGCCTTTCTTCTTTCGCTCGGCTTATAAACTTTGCCTGGTAAATCATTTCGAGATGGCGTGCGATGTTGTGATTTGAAGCAAATCCTGATCAAATGGTTGCCCTGAATTAAATGTCGGGGTTCTGAATGACCTCATAAGATCCAGATAGGTTTTTCTGCTTCCTCTCCCTCCCCCTTTGTGTTAAATGATTCATCCTTTCTACTTCAGTTGCTGGATTCCGCCACTGCGCACACCTGGCTGAAGGGTATTCATGCCCTGTCAGTTAATGGCTTGTGCACAGGTCTCACAGCTCTCCAGTATAATGTCTGTTCTGTGTTTCCACATTGATTTACTGTCTGCTTTCCGGTGGACTGAGCGCCCAGCCTCCCCCAGATCCATTTATCCTGGCCCAGCGCCTGGTGTCAGCTAAAGATTCCAGGGCTTGCATTTCAATATGCTTGTGAAGCGATGGCTGGATCGGTTTCTCTGGGTTGCATGTTGCTATTTGGAAATTTTTGGGGGGTAGGGGCGTATGCTATGAGCCATCCCAAATTGATTGGGATCAGAGAGTGTCCAAGAGAGAGGGAGGGAGAGAAGGAGGAAGGAAAAATGAAAGATGAGAAAGGAAAGGAAGGAAGGAAGGAAGGAAGGAAGGAAGGAAGGAAGGAAGGAAGGAAGGAAGGAAGGAAGGAAGGAAGGAAAAATGAAAGACAAGGAAGGAAGGATGAAAGACAAAGAAGGGAAGGAAAGAAAAATGAAAGACAAAGAAGGGAAGGAAGGAAGGAAAAAATGAAAGTAGAGAAAGGGAGGGAGGGGGAAGAAGAAAGGAAGGAAAGAAAGAAAAATAAAAGAAGGAAGGGGAGGGAGGGAGGAAAAATGAAAGCGAAAGGAAGGAAGGAGGGAAGGAAGGACAAATGAAAGACAAGGGAAGGAAGGAAGGAAGGAAGGAAGGAAGGAAGGAAGGAAGGAAGGAAGGAAGGAAGGAAGCAAGGAAGGACAAATGAAAGAGAAGGGAGGGTTGCCTGGCTCGGGAATTCTGGCAGCTGAAGTCCACAGGTCTTAAAGTCGCCAAGGTTGGGAATCCCTCCTATGGAACTTGAGAAAGTGGCCATCACAATATGGACACTCCCTGGGATGGCATGGGGGGGGGTGTTATCCTGCCCCACCCTTGGCATTTTACCAAAAATGACCTGCCAACGGCTGGCAGCTTGTAGGGAAAGGCCCCTCCCTTGCATCAAAGGTTTGCTGATTGTCTCTCTTTGCACGACGGGAAGAAATGAACCCTGGACGTGGCTGGGAAAAGAGAAAAAAAAAAATCCACCTTACAAGAGCCCCGGAGAAAATGTCCCTGTGTGCCCCAATTGGTCTGCATCAGGTTTCTTTTATTCCTTTAGATGAGCAACGTCACCAAGGAGCACTGCTTGGAAATTATCCATCAGTTTGAACCTTGTCCGGAAAACAGGCTGCAAGGAGCGCTGGGGATTGACGGTAAGCTCCCTCTGGATTTCACCCACGCGCCCCATCCCCTTGAGCAGGCGGGATGTTGTCGTCCACGCAACCCAAATCTAGACAGTCCTGTGGTGCCTGAGAATTACAGCCTCACAAATTCTGGAGCTGCCTTCCTAGCCAAACCCTCGGGGCACTTGACATTTGCTCAAGCCGAATACGGTGTCCGATCCTCGTTTGCTATTTCTGGGCTGTTTCTCTCCCTCGTCCCCTTTAATCTCTCCCCCCCCCTTTTTTTTTCTGGGGTGGCTTTCCAAAAGTTGCTTTTGACGGGCATCCAAATGGTCCAAACGTAATTGATGCACAGTAGTTTGATTTTCATGGAAACTCCTGGGGTATCTCAGCCGCAATAAGGCCGTGCAACGCTCCGACGTCCACAGCCGCTGCAACCAGCTTTTTCATTTACTTTTATGATGAGCGAAGATTGCGACGAGGCACCTCCAGCATCCAGGATTCGGAGACACCTTTGCTCCCCATGTTCCACCCCCACCCCCAATCTGACAGAACCCCCCCTCCCCAACTGTCTGAAGCTGTTGCTTTGCGGAGTTGCCGCCTTCATAACAGCATCGATTCTGTGCCAGCGGATTAAGTGAGAGTCGGGTTTGAAAAATGAGCCTGCCTCGTTGATTCCGATAAGAAATTGGGGAAGGAGAACCAGGGATAAATGGAGATGGATGGAGAAGCAAGAGCCCTTTGACTTGGGAGGGGAAAAAAACAGATATAAAATTCTTTGTATTTTTTTTTTAAAAAAGGGGCTGGGGGGAAGATTCACGGCTCTCAACTCCGTCCTTCTCCGAATTAGCTTTCTGATCTCTGTCGCCTCTGCTTTAATCCCCCTTCGGCTAGACTGCTGCAACTCGTATTGCCTAGGGCCGCCCCTGAACTAAGTTTGGGAGCTGCAGCTAGGGCAGATGTGTTCACTACCTCTTCTTGGTCTTGAAGGATGAAGCTGAACTCCTAGTATTTTTGGATGAGGGGGAGGGAACATCCCTTCTGGGGGAGGGTGTACATATTAGGAGTCCCAGCCCTGAGTGCTCTTCCCATCATTGGGACCACTTTGGCCTTAATTTTCCACGTTGTCTCCAGTTCCCAGGCTTGATATTTCTCCAGCTTCTCATCCTCTTTCTTCCTGAGGTTGTTCTCAGCCTTCAAGAGGAAGACATCTCATGGGTTGCTGTAGACTCAAGTGCTATGGAAGTTGCCTATGCCGAGATTAAAATTAACCTTCTATATAAAAAAACAAAAAGATGTTGATGAACTGGCAGGCACAGTGCTCCCAGACACAGACACACACACACAAACACAGAGCAGAGAGACATTTGCCAAGCAGCCAAGGTGAGTTCATTGTAACGGGCTTCCGAGCCTCAGTTGCTAAGTAGTCTGCAGCAACAAAAAAAATTGACATAGCTGTCGCCACCACCCAAGAGTGCAGACAAAATCAGACTGGAGCAGAAACACACACACACACAAACACACACAGAGAGAGAGAGAGAGAGTGAGAGAGAGAGAGACCAAGCTGTGGTTGGGAAGGATTAGAACCAGACTGGAACCAGGGGATTAAAATCACTTCAGCCAGTTGGAGATGATCCAAGAAGGAAACCAAAATCAAACCATTAGGCCTGGATGAAGAAGAAAAGTTTAAAGTTTTCGGCCTGGCTTTTGGGAGAAGGGGGGGTCTGTCTGGGTAACCCAGAGGGAAAGCATTTGAAAGGACTCTGTCCAACTCTGTTCCCCCCACCGACCCCCAAGCGGGCCGCGTTCGAAACTCTGTTGAACAAGCTTTTGAGGAAAGCTTCAAGAGCAGCTTAAAGCCAAAACACTCCATTCTCAGAAGCAGCTTTATCTGTCTCAGCCTTTTTCTCCTGCCTAATTAGTTCTCCGTGGACCCAGCTGGCTCAAATGCCATGGATGATGGGGTGTTTTTTTTGGGGGGGGGGGAGTTTAGATGCATTGACTGGCCTGGATAATAGAGTGCATACTTTTTCTTCGCAAAGCGTCTCTTAACTCTGTTTTGTGGCTATTGGGATGATGGGCTGGGATGACATCTGAAGATGGCTTGCCCAAGGCCAATCAGCATCTCTTTGTTCACACAGCATGAATGACACCATCCCTGTCATCCTCTAACTCACCTGGATCTTTCATGGGCTGGTTGTTTTCGCCAACTCTCTCCAGTGGCCCAGACACAGCCCACCTGCTCCTCTCTCGCCGTTCCTTTTCCTATCTTCCCAAATTGAAATATATATACACATACACATACACACACACACACACACACACACACACACACACACACACACACATATATGTAAGTCTTTGGTCATTCGGATTTTCTCCCGCGTCAAATTGGAAGTGTCTTGGCGACGTTTCAACGAAGTCTCATTCGTCATCTTCAGGCTGGTGTTTTCAGCTTCGTGCTCCTAGAAGCACGAAGCCGAAAACCCCAGCCTGAAGATGACGAATGAGACTTCGTTGAAACGTCGCCAAACACCCGCGAAAACCTCAGAAAACACATATATATGCATGTTAGGCAGCTGTATTAACCTCTAGGCCACTGGCTCCCCTTCACTCCTGTCATTAGAGACCAGGGAGGATATATTATATCTATATGTTGGGTGGAGCCCCCGGTTTCTTTGCTGAGTTTCCAACTAGACTTGTACTAGAACAAGGCGAGAGGGAGGATGCTCAGAGTACGTCCATGCATTTCATCCGGCAATGACGGCGATGGGTTTTCTGCATTACTATGGATTTTCTCTCAGTGTCGATGTAATTAAACCTGCATTTGATTACTTGAGCATGTGTAAGCCATTGTCTCGATAATTAGCCCTCTTTCTCTTGAGAAGTTAAGCATTCAGGGGTGGGGGCGTCTAGTAATTCATCCTCCCCCTCTTGTCAGTCATTCTGACAGGGAAATTATGCTATGACTAGTCCAGCTTCAGAACGAGAGGACTCCCGTCCCTTGAAGACACATCTCTCTTAACTTGAGTCCTTTGGTTCCTCCGTCCTTTATCTTCCAGAGGTGCCTGGGATCCCACGAACGTCAGCCAGGATTGACAAGGCCTTGGGAATTCTTAATCATTCCAACATGGGGTTAAGGAGGGTCTCTCCCCCCCCCCCCACTCCCGAGGCCCTTCTAGAATAACCACACCCCGGAATTTTCCTTCCTTTACAGGGTTCACCTCTTACATGCGCAGCCCCGCTGGGGACGTCTTCAACCCCGAACACTACCAGGTCAACCAAGACATGACTCGTCCTCTGAGTCACTACTTCATCACCTCGTCTCATAACACCTACCTCATGGGGGACCAGCTGATGTCCCAGTCCAGAGTGGACATGTACGCCTGGGTCCTGCAGTCCGGGTGCCGGTGTGTGGAAGGTGAGATTCAGGAGGGAGGGACCCCCTTTGCCCCATTTGGAAATCCAGCTGTGTTATGGCAAAACGCCGCAGTTTCTTGTTAGAGAGACCCACAAAGCTGTGGATCTTTCTCCTTTCTTCTCTCTCCCTCTTTCTCTCCCTCTCTCTCTCTCCCTCACTCACTCCATCTCTCCCTCTTTCTCTCCCTCTCCCTTCCTTTCTCTCCCTCTCCCTCCCTCCCTCTCTTTCTCTCTCTCTCTCTCTCTCTCTCTCTCTCTCTCTCTCTCTCTCTCTCTCTCTCTCTCTCTCATTTTTCCAGATCTTTTGTGAAGAAACTTGCATGATTGGGGAGGTTATAAGAAAAGACAGTTGGGGCAAACTCCTTGGGGTGCCTTGGCCAAATTTAGGGCTTTGTGTCCTAGCAGGGATCTCTCTCTACCTAGAACAAAGTAGTCAGGGGGATAAGACCAGTGGCTCTAAGCCTAGTTGAATGTGACTCTCTCTGGGAGGATCATAATTGATACTACGAAGTTGGGTGGATCTTTTGAAGGCATCTAGTTCACCTTCACTCAGTTTCGACTTTTTCCCTTCCTTCCTCATTCGCCTTTGTGTTTTAAACAAATGGTTTTTGCTTTTTTTGTCCCGTTCTTGGCCCCACTCCCAGCTAAGAAGGGAGACTCAGCTATCCTAAGAAACCAGCTTGTCTTTTTTCGGTTGTGCTTAGAGCCCTTCAAATCGTTCTCGGTCCATGCCAAGCATATTCTCCAGTTAATCCTCCAGCCTCTGGAAGTCTTTTCCCGTCAGCAGTTGGCGTCTCAAACCCCCCAAAGATGTACTTTTGGGCGTGGTTTGGGCTCCAGGCAGCAAATACGTAACAAAACACAAGATGTAAGTCTAACATCCCAGTGTCTTATTTCCCCGTTACGCAGTTGACTGCTGGGACGGTCCAGAGGGCGAGCCTATAGTCCACCATGGCTACACCTTGACCTCCAAGATCCTTTTCAAAGATGTGATTGAGACCATCAACAAGTACGCCTTCATCAAAAGCGAGTATGTGTTTTCCACCTTGAGGACTAGACGCCAAAGGCAAAAAGTTTACCTTAATGATACTCATTCCTTTATTTTCCTCTTTGCAATCTTATTTTCTGCTGAAAATTCTGCACTGGGGGACAGGGTTGGAAATAAACTCCAGCTTATGATAAAACCAGCTCTCTCTCTCTCTCTCTCTCTCTCTCTCTGTGTGTGTGTGTGTGTGTGTGTATTCTCTGATTCCCCTCACAAATGTATCATCAGATTCAACCCTTGTAGACTATGTAAATATTGATGACAACGATGATAGTACTTATGTCTTAATATTACATGCGTACGTGGCTTTCCTGATCTTCCCCACAGGTACCCCATCATTTTATCCATCGAAAACCACTGCAGTGTTACCCAGCAGAAAAAAATGGCCCAGTACCTGGTGGAAATTTTGGGGGACAAACTGGACTTGTCTACCGTCGACAACGAGGACCCCAATGAGCTGCCTTCCCCGGAGAGCCTCAAAGGGAAAATCTTGGTTAAGGTAATCAAAGATCAACTTAGGCACAGATCAGATTTGGTTGGCGTCCCTGGGAGCCAGGATGTGACCCAGACCCTCCTCTTGATCTCTCCCAAGGATGTGGTCGCTGTATTTAAGCCAAACGTGTCCAATTAAAATCAAAAGTCAAAGTCAACGGGCTTTATTTAATCATTGACCAGCCTTAGGTAACACAGGAGATAAAATAAGATCAAAGGTAAGCTACAAACAATAAAAGAAGGGAAGGGAAGATCGAACGTAGCCAGCACTGGTGAGACCTGCTTCCTTAGGTAAATCACCTTGAACACTGAGACCATTAACCCTAAGGCCCCAGGGCAAAGCCATCATAAATGAAGCTAGAAAAAAAAGATAAAACAGTCCTTGTTTATGACTAAACTTGGAGCAAGTTTAATCAAATCGCTTTCACAAAAGGTGGCAATGTCACAAGAGAACACATCAACACTGGAAGGTTTTAAAGAAGAGATTGGACAACCATCGGTTTGAAACGGTGTGGGGGTCTTCCGCTTGAGCAGCAGACCTTCCATCTTGATTATTCTTGATTAAAAAAAAAAATTAGTTAATCCCTCCTTTCTTTCCTTTACCTTCCTTCCCCCCTCGGTTCTGTTGCTTTTTACGCTGCTGGAGTTTAATGCCTTTTGCCCAAAGAGTTTTAGACAATCTGCGGCAGCTGACCAGTTCTCAGTGATTGGATTTTGGAGTGGAGTGGCTGGCTTATCCGAGAGACATTGGCCTCTCGAAAGCAATCCATTTCCACTCAGCTTTGATCAGCGCTTCGGATTCCGCGTTGCTAACGGAGAGCCCAGCTTCTGCGCCCACCGATCAATCCAATCCCCTTCTGGGATTTCGTGGCGAGGATTATCGATCGATAAATATATTTCTCTGTTTGCCCTATTTGAAGCTCTCCCGTTTCTTCGAGCTGAGGTCTAGCTGGAATGAAAACAACTTGGCCACAATTGGAAGCCACGTTGATGCAGACCTCAAGAGCCAGATGGAGGGGAAAATCTTTTAGTGACTTCCTGGCCACTTCTCAATTGTCAAGTATCCGAATGTAAATCACGTTGACCCCTGGGATGAAAATGGTCCTAAATCCCTTTTTCCAGTGCTGTTGTAATTTCAAGCTGCCACTAAATGAACTGTTATAAGTCAAGGAGTTTCTGAGAGATGCAAGAATATCCCACCATGATAATTTCGCAGAAAGCTGTTCTCCTTTAAAAGAGTAAGAAAGTGAATGAGAACTGATGGGAAACTTTGGAAATTAATAAATATGAGGGGTTTTTTTGGGGGGGGGGAAGGTAGAGGAATTCAGCCAACAAAACAAAGTATAGAGATACAGGTTCCATAAAATGGAACCAATGTTCCCCTGTTCAGCCCTCCTCTCCTTCTGTTACATTTCCTGGCTCACTCAGCCCAGCACTCTTGGGCCCATGTTACTCAGCCCAATCACTCTCGAGCCCATGCTTCCCCCCTCCCCCAAGCTCTACTTAGTGGACTTGATTCAATAAGCATGCAGGGGGAGAGACAACTTGGGAAGGATGAATTATGCAAGAGATAAATAAATGATATTCTTCCTTTTGATTTTGGCACAGCCAGCGGGAGTGCCAGTTGGCCGTTGGTGTTTATTCCTCTCCTAATGACACGTGTTGGCATTCTAGGGGAAAAAGCTTCCGGCCAACATTAGCGATGACGCCGAAGAGGGCGAAGTATCCGATGAGGACAGCGCGGACGAGATGGACGATGACTGTAAGCTGATGAACGGGGATGTAAGTATTGAAATGCAGGCAGAGTTGGAATGTAGAGTTGATTCTTGTTGACCAAACCCAATGACATTAATGTTGATCTGAGGAAGAAGAAGGATGGAAAATGCTTTTTGCCAAGGTTTTTTTTAATAAGCATATGAACAGAACAGAACAGAATAGAATAGAATAGAGCTGGAAGGGACCTTGGAGGTCTTCTAGTCCAGCCCCTGCTCAGGCAGGAGAATCTATACCATCTCAGACAGGTGAATGTCCAGTCTCTTCTTAAAAATCTCCAGTGATGGAGTGCCCACGATTTCTGGTGGCAAGCTGTTCCACTGGTTGATTGTCCTCACTGTCAGGAAGTTTTTCCTTAATTCCAGGTTTCTTCTCTCTTTTATCAGCTTCCAACCATTGTTTCTCGTCTTTCCATCTGGTGCTTTGGTGAACAACCTGGCCCCCTCTGTCTTGTGGCAACCCCTCAGATACTGGAACGCTACTATCATGTCTCCCCTACTTCTTCTTTTCTTTAGACTAGCCATGCCCAAGTCCCGTAGCCGTTCTTCAGATGTTTTAGTCTCCAGGCCTTGGATCATCTTAATTGGTCTTCTCTGAATTTTTTTCCAAACTCTCAACATCTTTTTTGTGATAAGGTGATCAGAATTGGCTGCAGTATTGCAGGTGTGGCCTCACTAGGATTTTATAAAGCGGTGATATTACTTTGCGGGATCTTCGTGAACTTTGGATGTTCTTGTTTGTGTCGAGGTGCTCATTTCAAACACTCGTTCAGAGACTCATCAGATCAGAGTTGACAAGTTCTTAGGAGTTCGGAACCCAGGTTTGATCTTGGAGGCACAGAGCCTACCAAAACTGTTGTCTTAACCATTTTGATGGAGGAGAACCAGTCAACTGAATTAAGATTTTTCACCATGGAGATAACGGAGTAACAGCTTCTGTAGACTTCCTTGTTAGTGTATTTATTTTCTGAACAGCACTTTTCTTGCTTCAGCACCTTGGACAGTGCCCTCCTTGTGTCAAAAGCTGGAACACACCCTCCAAAAATATATCTCATCCCAATTGCTTATCTATTGGATACACACTGCTTATTTCTAGGTGTTGCAAAAGGTAATAAATCTAATTGAAACCTTGAAAGTTTACGGGTATTTTATATCCCTCCAGCTGAGTTTGAACGGCAACTTTTAGCAGCCACGTGGGAGAGAAATTACCTTCTCCGCTTCGGTCCAGATCCTAATGCGAACAATTCCTGTGTTTTGTGGTGTTTCTTTATTAAAAAAATTATATATACCCTCTGCAAGCAAGCATCTGGATGGCCAGCTGTGAACGGCTAGTTATGCTCACCAAGGGCACATCCCAAGCCAAGAAAACGGCCGCTTGTTTTATTTTTGAGAGCATTAATTGCCGTGTGCTTTGGCCAATTAAGGAAGCAAAGGTTGTGCTCTTTGTAAAGTACAGCTTGCTCGACGGAGGATGCAAAACCAAGCGAAAAATATGACACAGGCGGCGAGCCGCGTAATGCGCACGTTTTAGCGTGCCCTACTTTTTTAAAAAAAGTATCCGTCACGGAGAAAGCAGCCAAAAAGAACAGGAGTTTAATATTGGTCTCAGCAGAATTGAGGGCTCTGAAAACTTTCCCAGTCTCCTTCCCCCCCCCCCAAATTGCTTTATACTTCCCCCCAAAAAATTCCTTTTATACCTTTGCAATCCACAAACAAGAATAATCTGAATCACTCCTGATAAGGCAGAGGCAAAGCTAATTTTGCTCTCTTACTCTTTGAGTCTGTCTGGCATCGACCGTGCAATTCTTGAGATGTTTGGCAAAACCCATCAGCCTTCATTTGTTTTGACATTTACCTTGTGCCGAATCCAAAAACAATTGAGGGGAAAAACACCTGGGAACCGCTAATCAAATATTCATAGGCTTGTCACTCAAGGAACTCTACGATTGTGATTGATTTTTAGCTGCTTGGTTAAACCAAAGTCATGTTTGAAGTGCACATGGGTCCTGAAAATACCTGCGTAATATAAGCAGGGAGACTGTGTATTAGTCTGCTGAGAAGAAAATGGGATTAATTTAACTTTGGCCTTTGTGTGCTTCTTGGCTTTCCTCTTTTAGTTCGCTTTTGCCAGTTACAGATAGTCTTGACTTACGACCGCAGTTGAGCCGGTTGCTAAGCAAAACAGCTGTTAAGTGAGTTTTGCCCCATTTCACATCCTTTCTGGCCCAGCTGTTAAGCCAACGACTGCAGCTCTTAAAGTTAGTAACACAGTTGTTAAGTGAATCTGACTTCCCCATGGTTGTCAGAAGGTGACAAGAAAAATACTTAGTGTTGTAAATATGAGTCAGTTGTCTGAATGTGGATCACATGACCACGGCGATGCAGCGGACTTAAGCGTGCAAAAACGGTCACAAGTCACCTTTTTCAGTTACGCTGTAACGTCGAACAGTCGCTAAATGGATATTATGTTGAATACCAGCTGGAAAAAGAACCAAGCAGGGCTGCATTTTTGTCCCGTGTAACGTCCACTTGTTTTTGGCTTCCAGGCTTCTTCTAATCGGAAACGGGTCGAAAACTTTGCCAAGAAGAAGCTGGATTCTCTGATCAAGGAATCTCAAATCCGGGACTGCGAAGACCAGAATAATTTTGCCGTCACCACCTTATCGTCCTCGGGGAAACTGAGGAACAAGCAGGATCTTAAGAAGGTGATTGTTTGGGGGGGGGGGAAGAGGGGTAGCCCATCTGAAAAGCTTCATGCTAAAATATGAATAATACGATAAAGTTTCGCCCCCCCCCCAAAAAAAACCCGAACCCCAATAGGATAACGGTTTGGTAAAATATATAAATAATGTGTCCCTCCAGAGGTTTGGCTTAAATATTAAAATTGCTGTAGGATTCTCTAGCCCAGGGGTCTCCAAGCCCTCCTGGTCCGTGGAACGGTACCGGGCTGTGGCATGTCAGCAACCGGTCCGCACAAACAAGCAAAGCCCTATCCGAGGGATGCAGGCAGCACACAAGGCCCGGCTAGGGATAGGATGGGGTCAACCTACTAGATCTGTGAACTAATCCAGATGTTGTGGCAGTTTCATCCCTGGAGGCTTTTCAAGAAGAGATTGGACTGCCATCTCTCAGAAACGGTGTAGGGTCTCTTGCTCGGGCGGGGGGGGATGGACTAGATGACCTACAAGGTCCCTTCCAACTCTGTTCTTCTAATTCTAACAATTAGGAACCAGGCTAGCTTCTCTTTCCTGGCCTTCCAGCTTTTTGGCACCGCCGGGGGACAATCTTCCCTTCCCTTCGACAGCAGCTTTAAGCTCCGTTCTGCCTTTCCTGTAATGAGGTTTTGATTTGGTCTGCCCCCCCTTCCCCCCCCCCGTGCCCTATTAATCGCGTCTGTTCCAGCAGGAGGGTTGATCTATAAAGAAATGATACAGGTATTGCCAGGCATTAGAAATCGAAGCCCAAGAGCCGGGCTGGCCTTTTCGCGGGCCTGCTTCGCTAGAGCTTGATTAGCCCTTTTTTTTTTTCCCCCTTGACAAATGGTTTATTAATGATTTTTTTGCTTTGCAGGAAAGCAGGTGAGTGAGATTTTGGAAGAGCACTCTGCTCTCGTCGGGGGGGGGGGTGCCACCAGGGTGAGGTTGGGAAGGCGAGGAACACGCACAGTTGGTGTGCGCCCCTCTTTGGCAACCTCGCTTGCCCCAGACTTTTCATACGTCTGAGGTTTTATAAGGGCGCTGCCCTCCCTTCCTCCCAAATCCTTATATGTTAGTTTTCCAATAATTGCCAGATTTCTTACACCCTCAGAAACTCTTAAGGCTTGAGCGTTGTAACCACCAGTACTGCTTTTTTTGTGTGTGTGTGTCTCTCTCTCTCTCCCTCTCCCTCTCTTCCTTCCTCCCTCTCATCTCTCCCTCTCTTCCTCCCTTTCTCTCTCCCTTCCTCCCTCCCTCTCTTTCTCTCTCTTCCTCTCCCTCTCTTCCTTCCTCCCTCTCCCTTTCCCCCCCCTCTCTCCCTTTCCCTCTCTCTTTTCCTCCCTCCCTCTCTCTCTCCCTCTTTCTCTCTTCCTCCCTCCCTCTCTCTCCCCCTCTCTTCCTCCCTCTCTCCCTCTCTCTTCCTCCCTTTCTGTTCCTCTCCCTTTCTCCCCCTCTCTCTCCCTCCTTCCCTCCCTCTCTCCCTCTCTCTCCCTCCCCCTCCCTCTCTCCCTCCCCTCTCTTTTCTCCTCCCTCCTCTCCCTTTCTCCCCCTCTCTCTCCCTCCTTCCCTCCCTCTCTCCCTCTCTCTCCCTCCCTCCCTCTCTCCCCCCTCTCTTCCTCCCTCTCTCCCTCTCTCTTCCTCCCTTTCTGTTCCTCTCCCTTTCTCCCCCTCTCTCCCTCCCTCTCTCTCTCCCACTTTCTCTCTTCCTCCCTCCCTCTCTCTCCCCCTCTCTTCCTCCCTCTCCCTCTCTCCCTCCCTCCCTCTTTCTCTCTTCCTCCCTCCCTCTCTCCCCCCCCTCTTCCTCCCTCTCTCCCTCTCTCCCTCCCTTTCTGTTCCTCTCCCTTTCTCCCCCTCTCTTCCTCCCTCTCCCTCTCTCCCTCTCTCCCTCCCTCCCTCTCTTCCTCTCTTCTCCCTCCCTCTCTCCCCCCCTCTCTTCCTCCCTCTCTCCCTCTCTCTTCCTCCCTTTCTGTTCCTCTCCCTTTCTCCCCCTCTCTTCCTCCCTCTCCCTCTCTCCCTCTCTCCCTCCCTCCCTCTTTCTCTCTTCCTCCCTCCCTCTCTCTCCCCCTCTCTTCCTCCCTCTCTCCCTCTCTCTTCCTCCCTTTCTGTTCCTCTCCCTTTCTCCCCCTCTCTCTCCCTCCTTCCCTCCCTCTCTCCCTCTCTCTCCCTCCCTCCCTCTCTCCCCCCCTCTCTTCCTCCCTCTCCCCACCCAGGCTCTTCATCAGCGACTGTCCTACGTAAAAGGCTTTGCAGAGGATTTGCTGGCATATTCTGTTGTGTTAGAGGGGTGTCAGAGTTTTTTTGAAAAAGTCTTTTTTTTTTCTGGTCACCGTAGAACAAGCACGGGGAGATCCTGGAACCTGGCGAAGACGGGATCCTCAGCAAACGTCAGAACCGATCCCTGATGGGAAGCTTGACCAAACGCAAGGTTGTTCATCTTTTTTTGTGGGGGGGGGAGAGGGTCTGGAATATCTTATCCTGGGTTGGGGATAATTTTTCAAAACTGCAAGCCGGAAAAAATGAGGACAGAGCGAGCGATTCTTTGCCCGGAGATGAGCTTTAGCGAGAGTGATCTCTCCTTCGTTACAACAAGGCAGCTGAAATGTGTTTTCCTCCTTGCCGATTTTTATTTTTATTTTTAACCCCAGAAAAAATCCAGCAAGCTGAAAAGGACCCCAAGTTTGGAAGATGGAGAGGACGACCTTGAATGCCAAAGAAACTTAACTAGAACTTCTGTCCTTTATAGCAAGTAAGTTTAGGGGGGAAAAAATACTGGTTTTTTTTTTCAGTGCTGTCATAACTTCAAACTGTTGTAAGTTGAGGACTTTAATACAAATCACCGGCATGGGTTTCGGTTTTCTGCAGCAGGAAGAGCCAAATTTCACCTTGGCGATTTGTTCCTCCCTGCTCACCGTGTTTCCCCTCCACCCTGCATGAATGGGCGGATCCCTTTTGATCAGGGATCCCTTTCAGCCATTCCTAACCTTGTTTTTTTTTGGTCCTCCCAGAACAAATCGGCAGAAGAAAACAATGAAACTGTCCCGGGCGCTCTCGGATCTGGTGAAGTACACGCGATCTGTGGGAAGCCACGATGTGGAATCGGAAAGTAAGTTTGCCTGCCACCTTCCCTAGAGCCGGACAAAAGCCGTGAGCACCTTGGTGGAAGGGATGCATGGGAACGTGGAACGGTTCCTAAGCAACTGGCCACTAAGCTGAGGACTATCTGCAAATGAAGTTAACAGGAGGGACCTATATCCCACTGGTATCCGTGGGGAAGAGGTTGCCAGATAAATGGAATGGAATAGGAATATAGAATAGAATAGAATAGAATAGAATAGAATAGAATAGAATAGAATAGAATAGAATAGAATAGAATAGAATAGAATAGAATAATAATAGTATAGAATAGAATAGAATAGAATAGAATAGAATAGAATAGAATAGAATAGAATAGAATAGAATAGAATAATAATAGAATAGAATAGAATAATAATAGAATAGAATAGAACAAGAATAGAATAGTAGAATAGAATAATAATAGAATAGAATAGAATAAGAATAGAATAGAATAAGAATAAGAATAGAATAGAATAGAATAGAATAGAATAGAATAGAATAGAATAGAATAGAATAGAATAGAATAGAATCAATGCCAATGGTGTTCAAATGGTGCTCCAGTTGTTTTGGGATTGCACCCAAGGTGCCTATTGCTATTGGTGCCATCCTTGCTTGCCTTTGCCACAGTCTTTCTATTTCTATTTGTAGGTCATTGTATTTTGATGATGATAATGATGATTGTATGCATCCTTCTTTCACCCCAGTCTCTTCCAGCTGGCAGGTGTCCTCCTTCAGCGAAACGAAAGCTCACCAAATCCTCCAGCAAAAACCAGCCCAGTATCTCCTCTTCAACCAGCACCAGCTCTCCCGGATCTATCCTTCTTCCTACCGGGTGGATTCCAGCAATTACAACCCTCAGCCCTTCTGGAATGCCGGCTGCCAGTTGGGTAAGGAATCCAGATGTTTTTAGCCCCGAAGCCCACTTCCCTTCACGCTTCCGTGCCTCTGTTCTGCAACCCTGTCCCTGAGAGGGATGAAGGAGGAGGAAATGGAAGATACAGAAGCCAAGCAAAAGGAGAAGTTCATTTTGGTGGAATTTGTCCTGGAGGGAAACTGTAAAACAGTGTTTCTTTCTCTCTCTCTCTCTCCCCCCCTCTGTTTATTCGCCCAGCTGCTGTTTTGAGTCCGGTTCTTAAAATTAGCTGGCGGAGAATGAAGAGAAAATCATTGCTCCCCCCCCCTTTTTTTAAATTTTTCAGTCATGATGGTTCCTCTTAATATCATTTTCTGAAAACAAACTAGCTCTTTTTGCTTAAAAGAGAGAGAGAGAAAGAGGAGGAAAAGAAAAAGAAAGAAAGAAAGAAAGAAAGAAAGAAAGAAAGAAAGAAAGAAAGAAAGAAAGAAAGAAAGAAAGAAAGAAAGAAAGAAAGAAAGGAAAGAAAAGAAATGCTTTCCAAAATGGCTGGATCAGAATTTGCCACTTATAACTTCATTTCTCAGTTATTCAGCAGTAGCACTTAGATTTATATACTGCTTCACAGTGCTTTACAGCGTATTTGCCCCCAACCTGGGTCCTCATTTTACTAACCTCGGAAAGATGGAAGGCTGAGTCAAGCACGAGCCGGTCAGGATCGAACTCCTGATGGTGGGCAGAGTTTGCCCCGCAGTCCTGCATTCTGACCACTGTGCCACCACGGCGCCTATATTTCCCATGTTTCCTTCCGTTGCAGTGGCGCTGAACTACCAATCCGAAGGGAGAATGCTGCAGCTCAACCGCGCCAAGTTTGGCGCCAACGGGAATTGCGGCTACGTCCTCAAGCCCAGGTGTATGTGTCAAGGTAAGAAGGTGAGGCCGTCATCGGCACGTCTGTCTCGTTCACAGCCTCCCCCAAACACCGATTGGAGTCCTTAACTTCACATCTAACTGCCCAGTAAGGAAGGTCTTCCTGGTTTGTTTCTAACTCAAAAGAGGAATTTCGTTTGATTTACTGACTCCCCAGGTCTGCCGTTTTTAAAGCAGTGGATCAACTACATGTAGGGACTCGCCTTCCTGGCTCCAGAGACCCCAACCGACGTGAAATCCCCGTGTAACTTCTGCAAATCTCTTCCAGGGATCTTCAACCCCAATTCCGAAGATCCTCTGGCTGGCCTGATGAAAAAGCAACTGGTCCTGAGGGTCATCAGTGGACAGCAGCTCCCGAAGCCGCGTGATTCCATGCTTGGAGACCGAGGCGAGGTAGGGTGATCTTAACCCAGAGTCCTGTGGGAGGGGACGGCTATCCAGAGGGAAATAATACATAGCCCTTAGACTTACATACTGCTTGCCAGTGCTTTGCAGCTCTCTCTAAGTGGTTTACACAGTCAGCCTGTTGACCCCAACAATCTGGGTGTCCTCATTGTACCGACATCAGAAGGACGGAAGGCTGAGTCAACTTTGAGCCAGACAGGATCGAACTCCTGGCAGTGGGCAGAGTTTGCCTGCAGTGCTGCATTCTAACCATTGAGAAAAAAGGGAGGGAGGGAAAGGAAGGAAGGGAGGGAGGGAGGGAGGGCAATAGTCGTAGCCCTTAGACTTATATACCACTTCATCATCAAGGGTTTTTTTTCTTTTTTTTTCTCCCCCCCCCCCCCCGAGAAAGTGAGTTAGTTTGCAAGCTGGGTTTCAACGTCCCTCCTTCCCCCTTCTGACCACTACAAGATCCATCCTGCAGCTTGGATTTTTATTTTAATTTTTAAGAAAGATTATGCAACCCATTCCTTTCCCTTGGGGGGGCAGGGGCGCATTTAGCAGGTGCTTGGCTGGTTCTCTTTGTGCAAAAAATAAAAAATAAAGAGCCCAGTCCACATTATTGTCCGCAGGGTGCCTCTGGGGAATCAGGAAAGTTCTGCCAAGACCTTCCATCAAAGTGACAAGCCTCTATTCAACAGGCCTCCCTGGAAAGCAAGGGGGTGGGGTGGGGGGTGGGGGGTGGAGGGAGAGAGACTGAAAAATAAATAAATAAAACTCCCAGCAAACGAGCCCCAAATCTCCCTGTAAAACGACATTTAAGCCGCTGAGTTGTCAGAGCCAAGATGGATGGCTTTCTTTGGACGGAGCCTGTTTGAACGGGGTTCTGTTCCAAATTTTGTCTTCTCCCCTCTTTCCCCCCCCCCATCCCTTCCCAGGATTTATTTTGCCTGTGAGCAAAAGTTGTGTCTTGTTTTTTGTGTTTTTTTTAATTGGGGGCTACGAGTAATCCTTGTGGGTGGTTTCTTTCTCCCCAGCTGTTAATTGGCCTGTCCAGAGGGGGGAAAAATAGCATTGAGTTTCTAATCATCCCTTTCTCACTTGGGGGCCAGTCTGAGTATCAACGATGGGACTGGCAGACCGCAACACGTAGGTGATGCGTCGTCGTGCATCTAAATAAACTCTAATGCCCTCAATTATTTTCCCCTCTGCAAGTTTGCTCGAATAAAAGTATTTTGATTCTGAATAAAAACAGCTTTCCAGTGTTCCCCTTGTGCTGCTCCAAATATAGATTACGTCTCCTGGGAAAGCCCGTGCTTTTATACCTTCCTTGAAAAATGTCCAGGTTGCTCCAAATTACGGATTTATTCTTCCACTGATTGGTTTGTTAGCTTGAAGATCAAAAGATGGTTTATCTCAGCAGTAAGTGAGTGTTTAAAAACAAAGAATCAGGGCGTTTTGAGACTCTCTCTTGTATATGTGTCGTTAAGCGGAGGAATTGCACTGGCGATCTTTGGAAGGACTACGTGGAAGAACGTGGTCCTTCTCCACTATCTCCAGAATCAGAGGTCTTTGGGTGGCAGATGTGCAGAAGGTCTCTTCTCAGATCTTAAGAGAGCTACCTTGTCAGTTAATTAAGATTTATGGCCCAGGAAGAAAGCCACTGAGTTGGGGAAAGATGCACGGTCCAGCTGTGCTTGGTGACATTCGTATTTGACCTCTTTTCCAGATCATAGATCCGTTCGTGGAAGTCGAAGTGATCGGCTTGCCCATGGATTGTTGCAAAGAGCAGACCAGGGTTGTGGACGACAACGGTACGGCTTCTCTCCCCTTCATTTTGACTCTCCCTTTCCCGCCATCTCTGTTCTGTGCCTTCTGGTGCTTTGAAGAGTAAGTCGATCCCCTCTTCTCTGTGGAATCTATAGATACCTCTCTATGGCTGGCTGAGGAATTCTGGGAGTTGAAGTCCACACATATCTATCTATGGCTGGCTGGGAGTTCAAGTCCAGCCATCGTCAGGCTGCCAAAGTCGAGGAACACATGCCCAGTAGATCACTCTTGGAAAGGTCCATTCTCCTGACCCTTGGTTTTGCAGGTTTCAATCCGATGTGGGAAGAAACTTTGGTTTTCAACATTGGCATGCCAGAGCTGGCCCTGGTGCGTTTCCTGGTCTGGGACCACGATCCCATCGGGAGGGATTTTATCGGTCAGAGAACGATTGCGTTTACGTCCATGATGCCAGGTAAGATGCACCTGTTCGTATAACCGTGTGTGTTAGTTTTTTTTTAATTTTTGTTCCCCTGCATTTCCTCTGAGGCTCTGAGAATTTGCCCGTGAAGGTAGGTCCCAAACAGACAATAAAGAGGGAAATGTTTGCTGGGTGTGCCCCCAAATCTTTGAGAAAAATCTCAAATCTCGAAAACCCTGGAGAGACGTCGAGCCAGTTAGTTCTTGGAGCATTTGACGTTAGTGGAAGCCGCAGAAAAAGGACCACGGATATCCTCCCGTTTTCTCTCGCCCTGTTCCTCCTGCCAGCCATAACCAAAAAGGCATCTCCAAATTGTTGGTTATCTCTGCCAACTGGCTCATCCCCAGATCGGTGGAGAAAAACTTCAAAGCATGGGCGTTTGTGGGTGGCGGGGGTTTATTTTTGGTTTTGCCTTAAAACGAGGCTGTCGTTTTCATTGGCAGCCCAAGATTGGCTGCCATTAATGCCAGTAATGACGTTACAAGCCAGCTGGAGGAGGAACGCCTGCAAAAATTGGGGGGTTATTAATGGGACTCTTTCCTCCTCCCCCCCCCCCCCTCCATTCCATCTCTCCCTTTGGGCATCCGAATGTACGCGCATCCGCCAGGACCTTCCCAGCTCACATAACACAACACACACGCCCCGTCTTTCCATCTGTCCCCATCCTTTATCCTCTTCAAAGCTGGGGAGGAAAGGAGAAGATTTTCAACGGAAAGGGGGAGGAAAAACCCTCCAGGTGACACTGAAAGAGAAGAACGAACAAAAGAGACGTGAATTGTGACATTCCGGATGGCTTCTGGGAGAGCCAGCAAATCAATTAGAAAATATGTGATTGTCAGCGGAGACTCCGTTCTTTGATAACTGGAGAGAGAGAGAGAGAGAGAGAGAGAGAGAGAGAGAGAGAGAGAGAGAGAGAGAGAGAGAGAGAGAGAGAGAGAGAAGCTGCTGCTGAATTCCACAAAGGAGCATCTCCACTGACAGATGCATTGTGGTCGCAGGATATGAAAGAACCGGCAATAAATTAAACATCTGGAAATTTCTGAGACCCAACTTGCTTTAATGCCAGCACTGAATAAGCGGCAGCATCCTCCAGTAGTTTTGGATCCCCCAAGAGACTTCTCTTTATATATATATATGTGTGTGTGTTTGTGTGTGTGTGTTTGCCTTCATTCATTCATTCATAATATAAAATACAAAAAGCCATCATCACCCTCATTTTAGCCATTCTCCATCCACTGCAGGAGAAAGGCCTTCCAACCAAGACAGACCTGGACTTCCCTTTGCCAACTGGGCCCGCCCTACTGGGCTGATGTGGTCACTCCATTTTGTTTTAGATCTCTCTTGTGGATGCTTTTGATCAAGCGGGATCCGTTCTAGGACTGCCTTGGTCCACCTGCCGTCCGCTCTTGCTATGTGACCAGCCCATTCCCAATTCCATTCTTTCCCTTTTGGGATGGCATCATCTTTTTTCTTAATGGATAATTCCTCCTTAACCCAAGATAAGCTTGACTTAGGGTGTGCCCAGTTCCGAGCGCCTTCTCTTAGCTTCCTTCTCTGTCATTCATTGGCCACCCATTTTTTTTTGACACCTCCCTTCTTCCGGATCCTGGTCATGGCTCAGCTTTCACTTTCATCTGCTCTCCTTCCTCTTCCCTCCCCTTGCAACCAGATCTTCTCTCTGACCATAAATGGGGGAGGTTGGGAGACCCCAGAAGGGATTTTGGGTTAAATGAGACGAGAAGCTCTCGCTCACCCCGCTTTCCTTGCTTCCAGGCTATCGGCATGTCTACCTAGAAGGTATGGAGGAAGCTTCCGTCTTCGTTCACATAGCCGTCAACGACATATGTGGTAAGGTGAGTCATCCTGAAGTCCGAGCCGTGCAAACCTGTCTAGAACTTAAGATGTCTTCCAGATGAGACGGTTGACTTGTCCTTAACGGAAGGAAGAACCAACGGTGCCCCGTTTCTCTGGCATTTTGAAATGATTTCATATCTACGGAGATTCTCCATCATCCAGGTCGTGCTGGTCCCAAAGGCAACTGGATTTTCTTAGTTTTTTCCCCCCCCTTATCCAAGAAGCTTCTTTGATTCTAACTGAAGAAGTTAGAACCGAAGAACCTTCTTGGATAAGAAGCGAAACGTTTTCAAGGAAAAACACCTAGAAAGTCCAATTGCCTTTTGGAAAAGCATCTTTGGGACTAACACAGATATTTCTGTAATCAGGTGGTTCATATATACATATATTTTTTAAAAAAATAAATCAGTCTCAAAGCAATTCTGAGCAAGCACCGGGTGCTTTCTATCTTTGCCCACAAAAACTCAGCAACAAACCTAATCCTTGCTGCAGTTGTATGGATTCCTGATGATCAGCTGATCCAGTGCTTTGGGAAATTCTTATCCAGACTGAGAGTGAGTCGTTTTTCTCAGCTAGTTACACCGCCAGTGCTCCTGTGTTCAAGGGTCTTTTAGCGCTTGAGAAGATGTAATTACGTTGCTTAGGAAGAAATTTGTCATTTTTTTTCACTGCAATGATTGACGCGTGCAACACGATCTGGCATAACTGTGTTAGCAATTTCTGAATATAGTCAAATCACAGGATGTCTTGGTTTAAATGCACATCAAGAAAAACCTCACCGTTCCGATAAGGGTTTCTTCTATTTTCTTTTTCTTTTTTCTTTTTTAACTCTTTTCTAAAAGCTGGACCTTCAGGAAAAAAAGGTCCATGCTGTAGCTGTTTTTTTTTTAATTTATTTCCCCATCCAATTTTATTCTCTTCCCACCTCGATTAAAAAATGCAAGTCCGCTTTTCCGAAATTTCTCTAGCCTTTCACTACTTTGCAAAACCCAAGCTGACTCTCTTGCGTTTGCGTTTTGGTGAATTGCAGGTTTTCTTGTGCCTGTTTTACCAAACGGTCCCTGAATGAACTGTCATAAATCGAGGAGTATTTGTATGATGGAATTCTTTTTGGGTTGGGGGGGAGGATCTTTTTGAAAAGGAAAGCTGGTTTATTGGCACTTTAGCTCTGTTTGATTTCTCAGCCAGGGGCTGAGAAAGCAGATCTGGGCGTCTGTTTGGAGAGATCCCTTCTCAGCCGATGGGCTCTTCCCGGACAATCCCCCACTGAAAGCCAAAAACGTGCCAGGAGGCGGGGAGGAGCAAACAAGCGAGTCTCTGTCTGCATTTAGAGTTGGCCCATCCGATTCCAGGTGCTGCAAATCCCACAGAGAAGGAGCCGTGCCGGACGGGCAACGTTGCATAGCAACGTTTTGGGGTGTTGGGGGGTTTTTTTTGCAAAAAAACCTGGCATTAGGCCCCCTTTCTCTCCTTCCAACAAGGAGAACTGGAAGGGGAGAAGTTAACACGTTAAGTTCAAGCCTCTTTCCAAACTTCCTTCTTTTCTCTCTCGGCCAAACATCTGAGGGAGAGTTGGAGGGGGGCCAGCTGCGTCGTTTCAAACCCTCCGACAAAAAGAAGGCATCTTGTCTGGAAAATCTTCCGCTTCTAATCCCTCTGGTCTGGTCCTCAGTGTTAAATGAAATTAAAGGGGGGGGCAAGCTTCCTGGCGGGCCTTCTGCTCTTCTGCTCCTTCCCTTTCCAACATCCACCAGGGAAAAGCTGTGCAGGGTTGTTGGGGGGGGGAGCCCAGCCCATCATTCCTTTCCACCTTGTACTGGATCAGGCCCCGAATGGGGGTTAGTTACCTGCAGGGGAGGGGGAGGAAATTTGGTAGCCCCCCCCTTTCCTCCTGCAGTTGACTCATTTTGTCGAAAGATTCCCCCAGCCTCTGTCCAAATAAATGTTTCCAGTTTTTCATCAATCCGGGCGGGGGGGGGGGGGAGAGGATGGATCGATCCGTTCTTGGCCAGGAGTCAGTTAGATGCCATAGCGCTTAATAAACTGGAGCAGGAAGGAAAGAGGGAAATTGGATTTCTTCCCCCCCCTCTTTCTCTCTCAGTTTGTCTCGGTTTCTCTCTCTCTCTCAGTCTCTCTTTCTTGGTCTTTCTGTCAGTCTCTGTCTCTCTCATTCTGTCTCTCTCTCTTTCTCTCTCTCTCTTTCTCTCTCTCTCTCCCTCTCCGTCTGTCTGTCTGTCTCTCTCTCCCTCTCTCGCACAGAGTCTAACTGTAAGCTTAAGAGCCCTTTGCCTTAAAAAAAAAAAAAAAGACCTCCAGAAAGTGAATTATGTCGGTGTTAATTAAGTAGAAAAGTAGTCCTGTCAATTGTCCTTCACTTCAAATAGACACAGCAGAAGGTTGTGTGTGAGAGAGGGGGGGGAGAGGGAGAGAGAGAGAGAGAGAGCGAGACAGACAGACAGACCGACCGACCTTAGGAAAGAGCTTCTGCTGGACTCGAAGGAATGAGAGCCTGACTCTCAATGCATTGATTTAGATTATGAGGACTAGAAACTTACTTGTCCAGAGAGGCAGGACCATTATTCGATGCTATTCTGGTTTGTTTGTTTGTTTTTTGGGGGGGGGAACAACATTGACAAACAGCATTGATTTTAATGAACTAGCCTTTGCCCAGAGACAGATACCCAGAGCATTTGAAGCTTACCTATCTCTCTATACGGCAGGCAATTTTCTCCCTTGATTAACCTCCTTTGATCAGCCCCCACCAAATTCCTGCCCTCTTTGATTTCTCCTCTTCCCCCCCCCCTTCTTTTTTCTTCTGCTTGAGTTGCTTCCTGATGGATAGTTTTAATTTGCAGCTGACTGACACAGGCCATTTTAAAAAGCTGGGGGGACTTGCTGGCTTCCAGTTTGCCCAACACCATCCCGCCTGCATCTCGTCCTGTCTTCAGAAGCCCCCTCCCACAGCAACTCGTACGCTCGCCTTAAGTCCTTCCCCCCCCCCTTTCTCTTTTTCAATTTCCCCAGCTGATTTGTTTTTTGATTGCTTTATCTCTGATCTTCTTGTTTTTTTTTTTCCAAATCGCTTACCTACCCCTTGTTGTGTTCTCATTAACATTTCTCCTGCCCCTGACTTTGTGGGCATCAATCTACTAATTATGGAGTCTAATCTTTCCAGGGAAGAGATTCCTTCATTTTGTGCAGGTGAACTCTGACCCTGAGCCTAATCCTACTGAATATGGAACCAGATCTGCGCAAGGGATTATGCTATATTTTTCTGCCTCTGGGAGGGACAAAAAAGTCTTATCCAACTGCTGCTTTTTTTTTTTCCTAATTAGACTTCTTTCATTCCAAATAAAATTTTAATTATACAGAAAGGGGACTTTTCACCTTGCCTTTTAAAGAATTTGAGTTTAGTATGGAATATCCTTCTGCTAACTGTAAAAAATCATGACATCCTTGGTGAAACGCCATTTTTGAGATTGCCAGTCGAGATGGTTCAAGAACGTCGTTCTGTTTGAATCCACCCGTTTTGTCCTTTTGTTTTGGCCACCCCCTTTTCGGACAACATCCAGCCGTTTGGACAACCCTTTGTCTGGAATGGTCTAGGGTAGCGGTTCTCAACCTGTGGGTCGGGACCCCATTTGGGGTCGAACGACCATTTCACGGGGGTCGCCAAACAACGCAGTCCGCCATTTCCCCCCCCCTTTTCCTTAGCTGTGCTCCTCCCTTTTATTCTATTGGCTTTTGAAAGCCAATAGAATAGACTCTCTTGAATAGAGTCTAATTCTATTGGCTTTCAAAAGCCAATAGGAATTGTCCAGGCTGTCTCTGCCCTGCTGAGCCCGCCAACAGTCCCATTCTGCAAATGGTGCTGCACCAGTTGAGTAGTCCTCGACTTACGACCGGTTGGGAGTCGCGGCATTAAAAAGATTGAGAACCACTGATATAGGGTGTCCTGCTTGAGCAGGGGGCTGGACTAGAAGACCTCCAAGGTCCCTTACAACTCTGTTATTCTGTTATATCTAAGTAGATGATGGTACCCTCTCTCAATTTTAAGCGCTAGTTTCATGAAGGTGGTAAGTAAATCTAGGACAAGAATGCCTAGCTGAGCAATTGGGGAAACGGTCTCTAATGCAAAGTCGTCACACTTTTTAAGAATTGTTTGGTACGCTCAGAAAGCCACTTTGCTCTTTTTCTGCCTCCCTGGGGGGGATTGAATAATGTCAAAGTCTACCTTGATCCCTCCTCTATTTTGTCTCTCTCTCTCTCCTCCCCCCAACCCCTTTCGTAGTTTATCCCTGTTTATTTGTGTATGTGGGTCACGTGCCCGACCCTTTCCTCAATCTCTCTTAGGGCCGTCTCGGATTTGGCTTCTTCTTCTCCCGTGTCTCACTTTCTGCCTTTTACTTCTGTCTGTTTGTGATTGCAGTGGCCTTCTGTGTGTCAAAAAAAGTCTCCTTTTAGAAGCAGAACAAATTTAGACGCCACAAAGGTACCCCCCTTCTCCCTTCCTCGACACCCAGGAAGGTCTAGTGAGCTCGGAGCATCACCACGCTTGCATGCTTCCGTCCACCCGAAAACATCATGAACATTTTTTTTGTGTCTTTTCCCTGATTTAGCTTTACTTATTTTTTTTTTCTCCTCCTCTTGGGGAAAAAAAAAACAAACCAACAACGACACACACACACCCCAAACTTCCACTCATAACATGGATTGCGACATTTCCCGGAAAGTTTGCCAAGCCGTTGAACCTCTAGACTTTCCCACGTTTATCAAGCAGATCCAGGATTCCCCACAGGCTTCCCCAATGTTTTTTGGTGTTTTTTTTTTTTTTAAATTCTAATTGCCTTCCTCCGTGTTTCTCTAGGTCGTCCTCGACTTAACGCAACCCCAGCCCCAAGGAGTATCCCCCACCCCTAATGAAACCCACAATTTGTCCTGTGGGTTATTTCACCCTCCGTTGAAGGGTCCCCACCCTGGGCTTGATCCCCCGCCCCCGGGTGCAAATATGCTGGATCTTCTTCTTAAACGGCTTCCTTTCTTTTTTTTTCTTCCCCCCGCCAAATTTGCACTGGATTTGGGATCTTGAATCGCTCGTTTGGATTCAAGGGTCAGCGAATAGCCTCACCGGGGGAATGTGTCGAGTGACCTCAAGGGGCTGATGGGAAGGGAGGGAGGGGGAAGAAATATCACTGCACACCACTGCATTCCATCAGTGGGGGAGGGGGGGTGTCTTGCATTTCTTGGGAGGTGGGGATAATCCCTTCCTCCATTATCTGTGTATGTTGTACATGAGAGATTTCTTGCTGATTTTCTATCTATCTATCTACCTATCTATCTATCTATCTATTGGGTTGTCAGCTTGATAGTTATTCTGTGTATTTGCCAACTTCCTTCTAGCCCTGATGATGTTCCCTAGTTGGGTTATGAAACGTCTGCAAGAAAACCCCCAAGCTCAGAGAGCATTAAGGACCTCATAGTTCTCCTCCCCCCCCTCCTCCTCCCCCTCCTCCTCCTCCTCCTCCTCCTCCTCCTCCTCATAAACCCACTCCCTTCTAGCACTGATAATGTTACATAGTTGGGTCATGAAACGTCTGCAAGAAAACCACCCAGCTCAGAGAGCACCCAGGACCCCAGATGTTAAAAGGGTTCCAACACTCAGATGGGCCTGTGCAGATGTGACCTTCCTCATAATTACGGGGGGGGGGAACCATCATTTGGGTTAGGAAATGTAAACAGCCGGGGAAGGGCGGGTGGCTACAGCTGTGAAGTCTTGAAACCAAACTGCAATTCGTATCTTCCTCCCAGTTCTGCCTTCCAATCCAACCGGGATTAGCCGAGGCTACCCTGAGGTTAAGAACATCTTGCATTATCGCTGCTCGGTGGGGTCTGGTTTGTTTTGGTTTTCTCCCTCGCCGCGCCGGGGAAGAAGCATACCTGCTCTGTGATGGCTTCTCTCCTTCTTCTCCTTCTCCCCTCCCCCCCAGGTCAAGCAAGCGCTGGGCTTAAAAAGTCTCTTTCTCAGAAGTCCAAAGCAAGCCTCGCTCGACAGCCATGTTGCTGGTCAGCTCAACCGCAAACATTCCTTTAGCAGCCAGCTCCTACGGCGGACGGCCAGCGCACCCACCAAGAGCTTGAAAAAGCCCAAGATCGCTCTGGATGCCAGAGACAGCGGTTCGGAAAGGGCCAGCAAGGACCCCGCCCTGGAAGACACCTCCCACCCTCGCTTTGACCAAGAGTCCGACTGCCCGTCCCCCGCGCCCTCTCCTTCCCCGGAGGGGGTCAGCCGCCAGGAAGCGGAGCCCGAGGAACCCAGAGGTAAGGCTCGCAGTTTGGGCAGAGAGCAGCGCAGCCACGGCCAGGGCTTCCAGGACGCCACCTTCAGCGAGCCCATCAGGAGATCCAACCGGGTCTGCCTCCAGGAGAAGCCAGCCAACGAGAAACAGGGCCTCTTCACCCGCTGCGCCGGCAACCAACCGGGTAGGGTCAGCGTGGCCACCTACTGCATGAAGTGCGTGGTGGGCTCCCACGAGGGCCCCGACGTGGAGGGCCAGTGGAGCGAGCCCAGCGGCGCTCAGCCAGCCGCTGGCGAGGCTCCGCACTGTGGCTGCTGTGGCGTACTGGCCGGCGAGGAGCGGGTGGAGCTCAAACCTGGGGGGATCCGGGAACAGCCCCGAGCGCGCTCCGATCTGCACCTGTGCACCAGCTACGGGGCCACCAGGAGCCTGCCCAGCCCCTGCCAGCCCTTTGGGACCTCAGGGAAGAAAAAGGGGGATTCCGCGTGTCTCGGGGCCAAGGACCGGTCCTGGCACCGGTGGCGCCCTCCGCCTGGCAGCAAATACCGGAGTACCGTCAACCTGGTGGGTTCCAACAATGGGTCGGTGTCCTCCAGCTCCGGCAGCTCGGAGAGCCTGGAAAGTCCCAGTTTCTCCAAAGGCTGGCCGGAGAGCGCCCGCAAGCCGGCAGGCACCCTTCAGAGGGAAATGAATGCCTTGTTTTCTGAAAAAATGGAGGAAATTCGCAGTAAATCCCCTATATTCTTTACTGGTAAGAGCAGATCTCCCGCGCCCGACCCGTCCATTCCAGATCGTGCCGTCGTCTCCCCGTAGAAACCTCCGCGCTCCTTGTCCCACCGGTTGACGTGTGGCTCGGCCACTTGAGCGTCGTCCTTCCTTGGTTGACCGTCCAAGCATGGGGTGGCCTCTTCATTTCTGCTGGGGGGCTTCACCGTAGCCGAGTAGTGACTTCCCCTGCATGCCAGCCTGTCTCCTGTAGCAAACCTCAGGTTGTCGTGGTGTCCCTTTGTGTGTTCAATGCATGCCTGTGATCCGAAATCCGTTTCTAATCCAACCAGATTTGCTGCCTCAAGGAAAGCAAAAATTTAACTCGCTTCCTGGTCCCTTCGTTGTTTATTACATAAATAGGAATTCTGAAACGGGTTTCCGAGTTCTAGTCAACGGCTTCCTTTGGGTTGGGAATCGGGAGTGGTGGTTAATGCTAATGGGGTCACCCGAGCTGTCATTTTGAGCTAAGGACACGGGGTTGGACTAGAAGACCTCCAAGGTCCCTTCCAACTCTATCATTCTCTATTCATATCTCAGTAGATTTAGAATTTACATTATCATCCGTAATCCTGCCTCCCCCCCCCCCAGCTCTTTCTCTTGAGTGTCTTCTGGTTGGTCAAAAGCGAATTCTCGGGATCAGCACGTTGAGTCAGTCTCATTCCTTCTCACTAATTTATTCTCTGTCCCTGAACTAACTGGGTTTTTTTTTCTTTCTTTTTTTAAATTTTCCCTCTTCTTTTTGTGTCCTGTTCCTCACGCCCTCTTTTCCCGCGTAGTTAAGAACTGAAAGGATGATGGAGTCCCAGGTAACTGATGAACTTTGCTGTTGACTTTCAGTCGTGCTTTCCTTCGCCTGCTTTCTCACCTGCTCTAAACAGGGCTGGGGAAATTCCGGGCCCGTTAGGACCTACGGACTTCAACTCCCAGAAGTCATTGAGCCAGCATGGCTGGCTCGGGAATTCCGGGAGTTGAAGTCTATAGGTCCTAAAGGCACCATAGTTCCCTATCCCTGCTCTACGGTTTCCCCTTCCCAGCTTCACACTAACTGTCCGAAACTTTTCCTGCATTGAAAGAATAGGAAAGACTGGTAGCTTTTTTTTTTTTTTTAGATTTTGCCTGCGGTTTGTTCTCCAAGTTCGTCTTAATATAATTCCTGAACGTTTCGTTACCAAACTACATAACGTCATCAGCAAGATTTCCTTGTCCCGTTCTCCTTAGCTCATAAGTGTCTTGTGTGCCAGTGTGGTTAGTTGGTCTTTGAAGCTACTTTTCCTGCATGTTTGTTTGTTTGTGGAAAGAACGACTTGTTCCCTCCGTGCTCATACCTTTATTTCATGCAATTTTAGCTTTCTCAGGGTGGGTGTCTCCAAAAATATCCATAGGGCAGGGGTAGGCAACCTTGGCTCTTTTATGACTCGTGGACTTCAACTCTCAGAATTCCTGAGCCAGCATGGGGGAACTATGGCCCCCTCATGACTCATGGACTTCAGCTCCCAGAATTCCTGAGCCAGCATGCGGGAGCTATGGCCCCCTCATGACTCGTGGACTTCAACTCCCAGAATTCCTGAGCCAGCCTGGCTCAGCTTGGAAACCTCTCGCTTTCCCCTCAGCGTGGCTGGCTCAGGAATTCTGGGAGCTGAAGTCCACGAATCATAAAAGAGCCAAGGTTGCCTACCCCTGCCCTAAGGGAATCCTGGGAGTTTTGTGGAGGTGGCACAACAAAACCCTGCTAGGCGTAGCGAGGTGTCAAGGCTTGTTCTGTGTGAAGTAGTTCTAGGTAGGAGAAGTTATTTGGCGTTTACTCATCCCTGGATTTCTTTCCCGTCTTCCTCCAGATGTCCACCAGTTCTCCAGGCACAGGTCGGTCCCTTCCTTACGCAACCTGCAGACCATCCACGAGGAGCCTTCCGGCTTCTGCTTCCCTCTGCCCGCCCACCTTGTCAGGGATCCCAAAGAGGAATCTGTGCCTCATCCTTCCCAAGAAGCTATCCCAGATGGAAGGGACCAGCTGAAGAGAACTTCCCCTGTGCAGCCTGCATTTTTGGAGAAGACGCTTCTCGCTCCTAGAGTCTCGGACGAGGAAGAAAGGATGGGAAGCACCCAAGAAGGAGGGGGCTGGGAAAGAGCTCCTTGCAACGGAGGCCTTCTCCCTTCACAACTTCAGCGCAACTTAGTGTCCGACAATCGTTGGCTCCATCCGGCTGGAAACGGCCAGAAGACGGTTAGGTTGGTTCAACATGAGATGAACAGAGCTGGACCACCACACCAAAACGAGCGGGGAAACAGCGCCACGCCAACTCCACTTCGCACAACCTCCCGAGGAACTATCGGAGTCCCCACGCCTCAGACGGTCGCCAGGAGATCAAAGAATGAAGGATATAAAGTGGGCGACCGTGTAGTCTCCTTGAAGCATCCTGATAAAGGTTCTCCTGCAGCGGAAGTCTACTGGGATGCCACGGTCAACGACCGGATCTGGAGCAAGCTTGACTTCAGCGCCCACAGGGACAGCATGTCCTCTTCCTCCAGCATGTCCTCTAACGATACCGTCATAGACCTCTCCTTGCCCAGCCTGGCCCGGAAAAGCCTCCCTGACCTCGGTGCTCCTAAGACCTTTGAGGTCCACCCCGACCGAAGAATCGCCAGGCCGTGGTCGGCCAACCCCGCCTCCGGGCGCGAAGCCCCCATGGTGACCAAGAGCAAATCTAACCCCAACTTGAGGTCCGATCAACCCGTGGAGGACGACTTGCGCCCGAGGCCGCTGGGATTCTCTTCCGTCTCCCGAAGACACACCTGGAACCGGCTGTACGTGGAGAGCCTCAAGCGGCCCGGCCCAAAGTCCAAAGGGCAGAAGAGCCCCGATTCCAACCACGGGAAGTCCAAAAGCCTGGGAGATCTCACCTCGGACGACATCACGCCCACCTTGGAGAGCAAGTACCGCAGCATCCGCCGCAGCTTTGCCACCCGCCCGGTGAGGGCCTCCAAGGCTTCGGGAAGGCCCGCGGATGAGCTGACGGAGCGCCTGAGGAAGCTCACCTTCTTCCAGCAGGAGAACGACATCACTTCGCCCACCTGCCCGGAACCCGCCAAGGCTGAGAAGGAGGAGGAAGAAGAAGAAGAGGAAGAGGCCGTCCTGATCCGAAGGTCTTCGTCCCGGAGCCAGAGCAGGGTGAGGTACATCGCCAACCGGGCCAGGCAAGCTCAAGAAAGGCAGAAGCTGAGGAGCCTGGCCTTGAGCAAGGGGAGTCCCATTGAGGAGCGGGGCGTCCCCGAAGGAGCCTGCTGCTTTCCAGGGGGGCCTTACGGGGACCCGGCTTCCCCCGGCTTGTTTACATCCCAGCTCAAGAACCCAGCGGACTTGAACCCCGACGCCGAAGTCGTCTTTACCTTCAGACTCTGATGGTGGGAAGGGCTGAACCCAGAATCGATGTTTACATTGCTGTCGGAGCAAAACCAACGACCCCTGTCCCTCCTTTTCTTAAAAATATGGAGATATATATACACAGTATATATGTGCCTAGCTCAGAAGACCCTCGTTGAATGAGGGAGGACTCTCCTCCTTCTCCTCCTCTTTCTTCTCCTTCTCCTCCTCCTTCTCCTCTTCCTTCTCTTCCTTCTTCTCCTCCTTCTCTTCTTCTCCTTCTCCTCCTCTTCCTTCTCCTTCTTCTCCTTCTCCTCCTCCTCTTCCTTCTCTTTCTTCTTCTCCTCCTCCTTCTCCTCTTCTTCCTTCTCCTCCTCCTCCTCTTCCTTTTCTTCCTTCTCCTCTTCCTTCTCTTCCTTCTCTTCCTCCTCCTCCTCCTCTTCCTTCTTCTTCTCCTTCTCCTCTTCTTCCTTCTCCTCCTCCTCCTCCTCCTCCTCTTTCTTCTCCTTCTCTTCCTCCTCCTCTTCTCTTCCTTCTCTTCTTCTCCTCCTTCTCTTCCTTCTTCTCCTTCTCCTCCTCTTCCTTCTCCTTCTTCTCCTTCTCCTCCTTCTCCTCCTCCTCTTCTCCTCCTCTTCCTCCTCTTCCTTCTCTTTCTTCTTCTCCTCCTCCTCCTCTTCTCCTCTTCTTCCTTCTCCTCCTCCTCCTCCTCCTCTTTCTTCTCCTCCTCCTCCTTCTCTTCTCCTCTTCCTTCTCCTCTTCCTTCTCTTCCTCCTCCTCCTCCTCCTTCTCTTCCTTCTTCTTCTCCTTCTCCTCCTCTTCTTCCTTCTCCTCCTCCTCCTCCTCCTCTTCCTTCCCCTCCTCCTCCTCCTTCTCTTCCTCTTCCTCCTCTTCCTCTTCCTCCAATGGACCATGTTATGTTTGTGAGAAACAGTAATAATAACAATAATCATAACGATAATGCAGTCCGTGGCATGCGTCCACCGGGAGTGGGCAGCTCGGATTTTCCCAGGGCTGGGAAGCGATCCCGAGACGATGTCTTCCCTCTCCGCCTTTCCTGGGAAGCACACCCAAGGAGCTGCACGATTCTCCCCGGTTTATTTTCTTTCTTTCTTTTTTTTTTTTTTTTGCATTGTCACTTCCGTTTCGTTTTTTTTAGGAGAAACCAAGTTAGCTAGTTAAGGACAACCAGGAGCAGTGGAAACCGGCTAGGGATAAAGAACAGTTTTCTCTTCTTTTTAGAACTCCGTTCTCCTTAGCCAAAAGTTTTTTTCCCCATCATTTTCAGATTATTATTTTTTTTTAAAAAAAGAAAAGAAACAAGTTTGCACAAAAAATTTACATGTGTGTCCCTGTGTGCGTGTTTCTCTAAACTGATGCATTTTTGTACTCCGTTTTTTCCTAAGATAAACCATTGTTGCGATGAGGTTTGCGAGTCCAGCGTCTCTTTCGAAATCCGTTCTTGCTTCTAAACTTTGATGGAGGGGTGAAGGTTGAGGCAGCGAGTACAACAAGTAGGATTCTTTGTTCTTCTTTCACAATCACCAAAGATGGTCTTCCCCCCTTCCTCCCCCCGGAAATACCTTTCTCGATGTTCTCCGCTGGTCTCTTTTGCACTTCCACGCGATATATTTTTTTAAAATAAACCAATGTTTTAAAAGAAAATTCAGAAAACGTCGAACTCTGCGCTCGGAGATCAAACTCCTCCTTAGACCTGTTTGCTCGACTCCCCTTGCCTAATTCATGTATTATAATTGATACCACTTTTTTTCCAGTAAGACAAAAAAAAAGGCCAGAGAATAGATTAAGAGATCATATAAGTCTAATTTTATTTTTTAGCTTTTGCTACGTGTGGCCGGAGAGTATGAAAATAGGCTGAGGGCTGGATTTTTTTGCTGTTGTTGTTTTTGTTGTGGGTTGTTAGATGGTTTCCTCTTTCTAAACTGCAAATAATTTAAAATCTATTTGTAAAATCACCTGACTCAACTCCAGAAATAAAGATTATTTAACCTAGTTGCTTTCGGGTGTTTTGTCTGCAGCTTCAGGCGAAGACCAGGAGTTTAAGGCTGTAATATTTATATTACTTGTCTTTCCCTGTAAGTGGGGAACCGTGGCCCCTTTAGGACTTGTGGACTTCAACTCCCAGAATCCCCCAGCAAGCCATAGTCATAAAAGGGCCATCGTTCCCCATCCACGCTCTTAAATTATGCCCAATTCTTTCCTAGCATGTCATTAACACTGGACAGATTTTTAGGCTTTCCTTGTAGCTGAAAAGGATCCTTATCAGATAGGTGCTGTGTTCAGATTACTCTATGATTACTCCTAGAGTTACTCAGCTTTGCTTTCAGAAAAAAAAAAACAGGTTCATTTTCCATCCAGCATCTTAGTTTGCAGAGAGCAGCTGGTGGTGATGTTTTGCTTCCTGGACTGATGGCTGCTGTAGATATGTCTAAGTGAGGTATATATATACGTGGCCTGTAGACGTGGCTTGTTTTGAAGTTTGAGTATCTTCTCCGATTACCTTCCGTTCAACATGAGTTCAGTTCAGTTCAGTCTTTCAAGGAAGCAGCTCCTGTTGGTTTTTTTAAGTGGTTTCTAGAAGCACCACCAAGAAACCTGGGACCTCCTGAGATCAAAGCCTGGAAGAGAATCCCATTGGGGAGAAAGCTGATGGTTGGGGAGATCCAAGGATACTTCTTGACTTATATCCTTCAGACCCACAAAGAGGGCTGGAAGCGGCATTTCCATCTGCGTACGTTTCCCGCTGCATCCTATAACTTCCTCATTCAACCAACGCACACCGTAAGGTAAGTACTAAGGGTACTTGATCTATGTCGAAGAGCATTGTTACAATGAGGGAAGGGCAGCAGGTGGGGAGAGAACAATAAGGGTAAGTTGGGAGGAGATCAAATTATTAGGATCCTCCAAAGTTTCCCCACAGGACCATCAGACACAGATCTGAAAACTCTTAATTATGATCTGTCGATGTCCATCCTCGGTCATCCAGGCTAAAGGGGTTTGAAGGTTGAATCGTGGCAACTGGACTAATGGTTGTTAGTTGGTTTGAGACTAATTATGATCCTCTTTGGCCAGACTGTTTGATTAGTTTCCATCCGTTGCTTCTTGTCCTGCCTTCAGGGGCTTTGGAGAATAGCTTGACTCCCTCTTCTTTGGGGAAGCCCCTGAGATATTGGAACACTGCTGTCATGTCCCCCCTCGTCCTTCTCTTCGTTAAACTAGACATACCCAATTCCAGCAACCATTCCTTGTATGTTTTAGCCTCCAGTCCCCTGATCATCTTTGCTGCTCTTCTCTGCTTCTCTTTCTAGAGTCTAAGCATCTTTTTTACATCGTGGTGACCCAAACTGCATGCCGCATTCCAAGTGTGGCCTTACCAAGGCCTTGTAAAATGGTATTAACACTTCACGTGATCTTGATTCTGTCCCTCTGTTCATGCAGCCTAACATTGTGTTGGCTTTTTTTGGCAGCTGCAGTAAATTCTACGCTCCGTGGCCGGTGTCAGCTTTGATGGGGTTCAGCCACCGTGTTCTTTGACGGCCCGCTCTCCTTTACCGCTAACTCTTCCCAAAGTAATTGCTTTCTTCAATGAATCTCCCCCCAGAGGACGTGGCCAAAATAAGTGAGACACAGTTTTGTGATTTTTTTTTTTTTGCCTTCCAGTGACATGTCTGGTATTACACTCTCCCATACCTTCTTGTTAGTCACCTTTGCTGACCCACATCTCCAAGTATTTCTACTTCATGCCACAGGAGAAAAGGAAAGGAAACTTCCCCCCCCCCAAAAAAACCACAGCCTTTTATTTACATTTTGATTTTTTATTTTTTTTTTACTCTTAGGCTGGCGATCGTCCTTCTTCACCCATCGGTGGATTTTGGGAAGGAACGCTCTGCGACTCACCCTGTCGGTTGGTTTCCTTGGAATTCTTCCCTTTTTGCTTTGCTTTTTTTTCTTCCGCCCCCCCCCCCCAAAGAAAAGAGAGCGAAAAGGAAAAAAAAACTTTGCTCCTGGACTCGAGCTTTGCAGCCACTTTTGCTCCAAGCCTCCAACATCCTTGAGGTCTTGGAAGGAGCTTGCCAGCCCCAAAACTGAATGTATGATGTCCTGCCATCTTGCCCAGCATTGTTCCTGGCATAAAGCACCTCTCATTAATATTCCCAAGGCACCAGCTCACCATTTAACATCGCCCTGAAAGGTTTTTTTTCTCCCCACAAGGGGTGTGTGTGTGTGTGTGTGTGTTGTTGTTGTTGTTGTTGTTGTTGTTTGTCCCTCAATTCTCAGGAAACCCTAGTCGATTCCCTCTTGCTGTGGAAATTTACCTCTTGTACATACGCTTTTAAATGCGGCCACCGCCCACCCTGAATTTATGAATTTTAAAAGGGGTTCAGCTTTTTTGACCACGGAGATTCAAACTTGCCTGGTGACCTGTCATTATTTTCGTCTCATTATTCGTACGTCCGTATCTCTCTTGAGTATTTCTGAATTTGGTGCGTTCTTCTCGCAATCCTCCATGGATCTATTTGCATTTTGAACAGGGGGAGGGAGGCAATAAATTTTTTTTTTAAAAAAAACAAACATACACACGACAAGACAAGGGACAGTGGGCTCATAGTTCAAGCAGTTGAATGATAGATCTTACAGTGGGGCTTTGAGAAATGCTGAATTATTCAACAGGAGTCCAAGGTCAAAAAAACCTTTCTGATTTCGCTTGCCTCTATCAAATTCCACTGTAAACCCGAAAAGTGGTCCCTATTACCGGCGTTTTCTCCGTACCGAAAATGTTTTGTTTGTTCCCCAAAGCTTCCTAATTTTTTCCCCTCTTCTGCTCCTTCTTTCAAAACTAACCACGGGTGGGTGGGACTCTCCCGTCCCCACCGTCGGGATGAGCAAATTGTAAATTCGGTCTTTTGTGATAGGAAAGGGATCGGACGCCGATCGCTGAATTTAAGTGGGAATGTGCCCAGAGAAATCTTCCCTGCATGGAGAAACCTAGCACATCAGGGGTGGAGCAAGATAGAAGGAGAACTTTCCTGTGAGTGAGAGCAATTAATTAGTGGAACGGTGTGGCTTCAGAAGTGGTGGCTCCTCCAACACGGGAGGTTTTTAAGACAGCCACTGGTCTGGAATGGCGTAGGGTCTCCTGCTTCAACAAGGGGTTGGACTAGAAGACCTCCAAGATCCCTTCCCACTCTCTTATTCTGTTAATTCATCAGGGGAACGGCCTGCCTCCCAGAAACGGTGGGTGCCCCATCCCTGGAGGCTTTCAAGAAAAGATTGGCTATCCATTTCTCTGGACTCGTGTAGGGTTTCCGTGCTTGAGCAAGGGGTTGGACTAGAAGACCTCCAAAGCCCCTTCCAACGCTGTCCTTCTGTTATCTAGCTTCCCTCGTGGGATCTGCAACTGGGAAGGGCGCCCGACGTCTTCGCCCACCCACGGCCAGCCGAAGGACCGGGAGAAAGGCAGACGAGAACGCGCTGCTACCACCTTCCAGTGGAGAACAGGGGAACAATACTCGCCCTCTTGAAATCCTTCCCCCCCACTCCCCCCCCCAGCCTCCCACAACTCCTCCTCTCCTGAGTTGGACCGTCTGGCTGAGTGTTGCAGTCATTTCCTCCGGAGCATCTCATCAACGCCGGCTGCATTCTGCCACTGAAGGTGCCACCCAGCGTAAGTGAGACCTAGTCCAGCTCTTCTCCTGGAGGACTTTTCTCCACTCCATCCACCCCCCCCCCCCTTACAATGCCCATTGCTCTTCGGTGCAGTTTCCAGGCTCAAGGTTTTCCCAAAAGACCAGCCTGGGAAGGAAGGGATGAGGGAAGCACAGTCGAATAAAAGTTCAGGGGGTGGGCCTGCCGAGAATGTTATTTTTATTTTATTTTTTTTCTCCCAACTTTTGCCCAAAGCAAAAAAAAAAAAAAAAAGTTCGCATCTCTGTCAGGAGCAACAGATGATTTCCAGAACAGGCAAAAGAAGTTGGTAGAGGTTTTGCTGAGAATTTCCAGTTGCTCCACTGGTGAATAAATTTGTCTTTCTTTTCTTAATTAGCGGGATACCAAAAGCGAACTGAAAAGAAAAAAGAAGATGCCCAAAGTTTTTCTCTTTTGTTTTAACTTTTGTGTGTTTAGTTAATTTTTTTAAAAAGGAGGAGAGGGCTAGATTTGCTTAATTTCAGTCTGTTTGGATCAACTGCTATCTCATCCTAGGAGCAAAGAACTAGCACAGCTCCTTTCCTTTCCTTCTTTCCTTTCCTTTCCTTTCCTTTCCTTTCCTTTCCTTTCCTTTTCCTTTCCTTCTTTCCTTTCCTTTCCTTCTTTCCTTTCCTTTCCTTTCCTTCCCTTCCCTTCCGTTTTCTTTCCTTTCCTTTCAAAATCTTCAATTTCAGTTTAAAGTCTTTTCCATTTTAATCTCCTGCTGCGTGATGATGATGATGATTTTGGACTTTACAGAACTATTCGGTTTTTATTTTTAAAGTTTTAACTACGTTGTCCTGCTTTGTGCATAGGTAGTGGCCCCGAGGCGGAGTCAGGCAAATGAATAGGTTTCCAAAATTTATAAGAGGCTGGAGGAGAGTCCCTCCTAAATCCCAATTATTGCAGAATGTATCCTCTGCACTTCCTTCTCGCGTCAGCAGTTCGGATGTCCATACATATGTACAGATTTCTGCATAAATTAAAAATCCCTCCGACTCTTAAACTGGAGACTTCGCTTCCTCCCAAAAGCCATACCTCACTGAATTAAGCATCGTTGTTGTCCTCATACTTGTAGTCCGTCAATTCTCCATCCACAATTGGATGCATAATTTTAAAAATAATCCTTGCATACAGTCCAGTTCAGGCACCCCATCGCTTGAGACTAGCTTTTGCTACTTGACAATTTATTCCAAACATTGGCTTCAAATTCCCCTTCATGCAGAAATCTAATAGTTAACAGGGAGAGAGCCCCCTTAGTCCTAGCTTTCTGGTTTTCCTCTTGTAACTTCTGCATCGGGGGCCTGAAATGAACAAATAAGTATACTCTAATTAACCATGTGATTTTTTTTATTATTATTTTTTCCTAACAGAGGACACCCCGGTAGAAAATTCTGCACCGCGATGGGCAAAGCTGTCAGCTTTATCTTTTGCATTACGTTCCTTTTGCTTGGAGAACCTACAATGGACAGGTAAGAAAGAGAGAGAGAGAGAGAAAAAAAACACCCTTCACACAAAGCTAGAGTCCACCTCCCCCTCGCTGAATTGTTCTCAATATTTTAAAAGTATTCTAGGCATGTATGTGTTCAGGACTCTGATTGTGGTCCTTACGTAGGAAGAGGGAACGCTTTCTACGTCTTAAATAAATCTTAAAACATCTTAAATAAATGAACAAACACCCCATTAACAGATAACAAAGGTATCCTTTGAAAAAGATGTAGTGTGACAACGAGGCCACTAGTCACATGGACGGCGTTGTTTGTTTTCTTTATTTTATTTTTTGGAAAGAGTTCTTCCTCTTGATGAAATCAATTAAAGCAGACATTATGAATTAAAGCAGATATCTGCCCTCTTTCCGATCCACTTCTAACTGCATAAGGTGTCAAAACCTCAACGGTCTGCTTGTAACTCCTAATCTTGAGTTCTGCCTAGCCTTGGTGAAATCAAAGCTTCACTCTTTTCCCCAGTTCTGCGAAAAAAAACTTAGAAGACGCGTCTCTTTTGAGGAGCTCAGATTTGGAGAAAAATCTGCAAAAGAGATCGTATTTATTTTTTGAATATTTTTTTATTTTATTTTTGAAGTTTGATCTCACTAAGGGCTGAGCTCGGGTTTAGGTTTATTTTAATCATTTAAACTTAGATTTTCCTGGGCAGGCTGCATTTCGCTGGTGGAGAATTTGCCTGGTCGAGCTTTTTGTGTTGGTTGAGCAAAAAAAAAAAAAAAATCTTACTTGCTGCAGCAGTTTGAATGCGAGCAAACTGGGCCAGATACGAACCAACCCAAATTCAGGTTTGATATCAGAGCTAAAGCTTGCATTTTGCTTAAATTCTCCTTGATCTTCAGAGGCCTTTCTTCTCCGCCTCTCAAAGTGCCTTCAACAAGAACCTTAAAATTTTATCTCCAGGGAAACTTTTGTTCTATGCTCTTTAGTCCAAAAATGGGAAAACAGAAACTTTCCTGTTTGATCGGACTTTGCCAAGAATTTCTGTGAATCAGGAAGGTGTCTGCCTGAACTGTTGCCACATACCTTGTTCCTGTTTTGGATTTCAGCCATGTTTTTCCCCTTCTCAGTTAGATGACGGACCTCTTTCAGTCTCCTTCCTTCCTTCCTTCCTTCCTTCCTTCCTTCCTTCCTTCCTTCCTTCCTTCCTTCCTTCCTTCCTTCCTTCCTTCCCTCCCTCCCTCCCTCCTTTCTCTTTCCCATCTCCTTCCTTCCCTCCCTCCCTCCCTCCCTCCTTTCTCTTTCCCATCTCCTTCCTTCCTTCCTTCCCTCCCTCCCTCCCTCCTTTCTCTTTCCCATCTCCTTCCTTCCTTCCTTCCTTCCTTCCTTCCTTCCTTCCTTCCTTCCTTCCTTCCTTCCTTCCTTCCTTCCTTCCCTACCTACCCATATCAAGGTCAATTGTAGATTAAGGGACAAAGAAAGGTAAGGAGTCTATTTAGAATGTCATCTCCTGAATTTATGAATGTTTGGCATCACCCAATAATTTTAGGATCTAAAGTGAGTTGAAAATGATCTTTTTTTTTTTAGTTGCCCATCCAAATAGGACTAATAACACAGATAATCCTTGACGTGTGCAATTATTCATTTAACGAGCATTTGAAGTTACAACGGCACTGAAAAAAAGTGACTTAGACCGTTTTCCATATCTTAGGGCCCTCGCAACATTCCCCCCCCCACCGGTTACCTAATCAAAATCCGGCTGCTTGGAAACTTGCATGTGTTTATGACGGTTTTGCAGCGTCCCTTTGGGGGTCCCGCCATCCCCTTCTGCGACTTTCCGACAAGCCAAGTCGAAGGGGGGTGGTGGGGTTAACGACCGTGTGACTATCTTCACAACTGCAGTGATTCGCTTAAGAACCGTGGCTAGAAAGGTCATAAAAACGGGGCAAAATCCACTTAACAACCGTCTGGCTTAGCAATGAAATGTCGGGCTCAAACTTGGTCGTACGTCGAGTCTCCTTTCTCAGCCTTGCGGCCTGTTCCTTCCCAGGAGCCCTCACTAAATTCGAAACCCATGTCGGATTTGGGGGCTGAACAAGGGCTCCCGTGGAGAGCCCCCCCCCTTTCCCCTGGACCGCTGCTGTGGCTGATTATTTACGGCCCCTTTCAAGAGCTGGCCTTTCTCTTTATTTCTGCCTCTGGTTTGCTTTTGTTTCCTCAATGGCTGTCCCAGGCTGGCCGTGGAGGGTGCCAAGACCTTCAATGGGCCTCCTTGTCTCCTTCCACCGGTCCCGCGCGGGGCTCCCGAAACCAGGCCAAGGGACGTCCCGCTGGCTCGACCGGCCGCGGTTGAAAAGGAAGCCAGGGGTGTCTGTGGGCCCCTCTCCAGCTCCCATGGAGAGCTGCCGTGGGGCTGGGAAAAAAGCCCTTTATAGCCGGATAATTCAGAGTTCGGCTGCAGACAGGCAAAATTGATGAACATTTCTCCTCCCCCACCTCCCGATAGATAGATAGATAGATAGATAGATAGATAGATAGATAGATAGATAGATAGATAGATAGATGATAGATAGATAGATAGATAGATAGATAGATAGATAGATAGATAGACAGACAGACAGACGATGATAGATAGATAGATAGATAGATAGATAGATAGATAGATAGATAGATAGATAGATAGATATAAACAGAGCTGGAAAAAAAAAGCAAAAGAGAAAAGAATCTCCACTGGCTGTAGTTTGAGAACATCCTCCTTTGGTTTCCGCTTCACAGCCCTGCCGTTTGATTTTTCCTGAACTAAAGAAGGAATGAGGTTTTAATAATAATAATAATAGTAATAATGATGAAGTTGGGCCTTGGAGGTCATCTAGCCCAACCCTCTGCTCAGGCAGGAAACCCTACACCATTTCGGACAAATGGCTGTCCAGTCTCTTCTTAAAAACCTCCATTGTTGGAGCATTCACCGCTTCTGGAGGCAGTTGGTTCCACTGGTTAATTATCCTTAGGGAAGAAAACTTGTCTGTTTCGTAGTTTCAGAGTGGCTAAAGAGAAAAGTATAAAACTGTCGCTATTTGTAAAATGATTCCCATCCTTCCTGTATTTTCCAGATGCCGCTGAGGATGGCGATTCCCTCCAAAAGGTCGGTATCCATTGTTTTTCTCAACCTACCGGCCCAGGCAGAAGTTGCTTTTAATGGGCACTTCTATATTCTCTGGGGGATGAGAGTGCCAGGAAGAAAAGACTCCTGCTTCTACGACTGGTGTACACACACACACACGCACACACACATATGCAGGCACGCACACCCCTGAAAACACAAATTAACTCGGAGGAGGGAGAAGTAAGAACGAACAGTTTTATCAAGCCCTCGCAAGACTTGACGCGCGGAGTCACTTGGCTGAGTTGGGCCGCTATAGAAATGGAAGAAATCAATCAGATGAATAAAATATTTCAGCTTTTCCCAGCTGATGCCGGTCTAGAAACAACAAGAATGGAAATTTCAAAATATTGAATTGACAGGACTCTAAACTCTTAGTAGGACCCTGCTGCGTTAACCCAGATATGTGCTAATCTCTGGTTATTAGGCAGTTGATTGGGGAACCATTTATAATAATAATAATAATAGTAATAGTAAAGTTGGAAAGGACCTTGGAGGTCATCTAGTCCAACCCCCTGCTCAGGCAGGAAACCCTACACCATTTCGGACAAATGGCTGTCCAGTTCTCTTCTTAAAAACTTCCAGTGTTGGGGCATTTACTGCTTCTGGAGGCAGGCTGTTCCACTGATTAATTGTTCTCACTGTCAGGAAGTTTCTCCTTAGTTCTAGGTTGCTTCTCTCCTTGATTTGTCTGTAGGGTCTCCTGCTTGAGCAGGGGGTTGGACTAGAAGGCCTCCAAGGCCCCTTCCAGCTCTGTCATCCTGTTTTTCTGTTATTCTGTTAATGTTTTGCTCAGTCAGAGAAATTTCTCGATTGTGAGAAGAGGCCTTGCCATCTTGGGATCGAGGGGTGGAGTGACATTTTCCCGGCATCATTGGAGTGCTCCGGGGTTGAGGGCAGGGGTTTTCCCAAAGCGCGCAGCCGGAAATAAATTCCCCGGAAACCTCTGCCCTTTGCACAAGAGTTCTGTAGGGAAAACACCTCCTGAAAACAGTTTGTAGGTCAGCCAACCTGGCTAGTGCCAGCTGCAACTCTTGTCGTACCGCACTGGGTGGGTCTGTCTTTCATTTCCTTCTACGCAGCTGATTTTCCTAAACGTTTTCATCTCCAGGACAGTGTCGCTCTTGGGGCCGGAGGAAAGGATGTACCGACAATCTACGTCACAACTATTCTGGTAAGGAGCTTGGCCGGGCAAACGGCCCCGAATCCTTGGAGTTGGGCTTAACGCTGTTCATAATGCACATATCCCTCGAATTAACGACCACCATTGCCGTTGCTAAGCAAGACATTCGTGACAAGCATTTGACAACCTTCCTGACCGCTGCGGATCACAGACGTTATTAAGCTAGTCCCTCACTGTCGTTAAATGAAACCGGCATCCCCCCCCATTAACCTGGTTAATCAGAAGGTTGCAAAAGGGAATCGCACCGCGACCGTCGTAAATAGGATGCCAAGCGTCCAAATTTTGACCACAGGGATGCTCCCCCCATCTTTTAAGGGAGACCCAAAGCTTTCCGCGGCCGGGACAGTGCGCCACGCCTGACATGGAAGGGAGGTTCAGAAAGGTTCACAAAGTGGGGACGGGGATGGGGTGTCCCTTTTCCCCGCCCGTGCAATGGAGGTGCCGGTCAGAAAGGAACGCTTGTCTTGCTCTGATCTGCAGGAGAACCCCTACGCGATTGTCCGGGGCACCGAGTTAGAAGGCTACTGCATCGACCTGTTGCAGAAGCTGTCGGAAATGCTTCACTTCAAATACAAAGTTGGGATCGTGAAGGACGGGAAATACGGGAGGCTCAGTTCCAACGGGAGCTGGTCTGGGATGATCGGAGAGATCGTGAGGAAGGTGAGATGTTTTGTTTTTTTGTTTTTTTCCTGGAAAAGGTGCTCTTCAAACAGGGAGAGGAACACCCTCCACCCCCCACCCTCCTCTTTGTGTCAGCCTCTCAAATACTGGAACGCTGCTATCGTGTCTATATGATTGTACAGGGTGACCTCTTTTAAGATTAAAGTATAAAGCGTGACTTATTTTGTCCCTGGATATCAGCAAGTTCCTTTTCCGTATGGCAAAGACCACAAAATAAAATAGAGATGTGTCATCCAATACAGTATACAGATGGACTTATTTCTGAATAGAATGGAATGGAATGAAATGAAATGGAATGGAATAGAATGCAGAATGGAATAGAATAGAGTAGAGTAGAATAGAATAGAATAGAATAGAATAGAATAGAATAGAATAGAATAGAATAGAATAGAATAGAATAGAATAGAGCAGAATGCAGAATGCAGAATGCAGAATGCAGAATGGAATAGAATAGAATGCAGAATAGAATAGAATAGAATAGAATAGAATAGAATCTGGAAGGGACCTTGGAGGTCATCTAGCCCAGCCCCTGCTCAAGCAGGAGACCCTAGATCATTGCAGGCACATGGCTGTCCAGTCTCTTCTTAAAAACCTCCAGTGATGGAGCGCCCACGACTTCTGGTGGCAAGCAGTTCCACGGGCTAATCGTTCTCACGGTCAGGAAATTTCTCCTTAGTTCCAGGTTGCTTCTCTCCTTGATTAGTTTCCATCTGTTGATTCTCCTCTTTTAGCTTCTGTTGCTTTGGAGAACAGGTTGACCCCAGTCCTTCTTTTCTCTAAATTAGCCATCCCCGATTCCTGCAACCGTCCTTGGTGTGTTTTTGTCTCCAGGCCTGTAACCATCCTAGTAGTTGATTCTCCTTTCGCCCTTTCCCCCTCGCAGGAGGCTGACCTCGCCGTGGCTCCCTTGACCATCACGTCGGTCCGCGAGGACGTGGTGGACTTCACCCAGCCGTTCCTGCACACGGGCATCGGCATCTTGCTGCAGAAAGAAGCCGCCTTGGAAGGGGCCTCGCTGTTCCACTTCCTGTCCCCTTTCACCAAGGAGACCTGGGCTGGGATCCTCCTGGCCTACCTGCTCTCCAGTCTCTGCCTCTTCCTGGCTGGAAGGTGAGTAACCCCCCCCTCACCACCACCACCTGCCTCCCTCTTGGTTGGAAAAAGGAAAGAGGCCGTTTTGAAGCCCCCCCCCCTCCTCCCAAGAGCTGGCCAGCAAATGCTTTTCCCTGATTTGGAGGGCAGGCAGGACCCAGAGATGCGACGGGGAGGATGACAGCAGAATATCATTAAGTCTCAGAAGCCATTGAGCGTCACCCGGTGGAGACGCAGTTGGTCGTAAAATGTCCTGTGGGCTCTTTAGCGTCCAGGTTTGAGGTCCCGGTCTCTCCCTTCGCTTCTAGTGCCAAGAAAGGGGTTTGACCATGATATTTGGGCATTCCGGTCAGAAAAAGCACCCCTGTGGGGGGGGGGGCAAGTGGGCTTCCTGTCCCCAAACCAGCGTGCTGTAAATCCATCAATGGGAAAGGAAGCACAGAGCGAGAAAGAGAGCGCAAACAAGTAGTAATTAAGTAGTAGCCAGAACGAAAAAGCTCTTTACATTAGAAATGGGGAGGCTGCAGGCCGTTTATTTTCTGAGCCCCCACAGCGGCAAATCATAGACTCATAGGGCTGGAAGGTACCTTAGAGGTCATCTAGTCCAACCCACTTCTCCGAAGCAGAAAGAAGGGACTAGCGGGATGATACACCCCCGGGAAATCCCCAGGGCGATGGGTTTTTTTTGGTAGAATATCCTAATAAAGGAAAAACACTTTCCTAAGCCTGCCAAGGCCATGGCGTGGAGATCACCGTGCCTTGGGTTGTTTGTGCCTCAGTTTAAACTGTTCTCCTGAGCATGTACAAATGGCTCAGCTTGGGGAACCCCAGACCTATATCCCCCCTGCCCTGCCTCCAGCCTGAGGGCCTTTGCTGTGCTTCTCCATAGAATGAGCCCTTCCGAATGGGACGGAAACCAGGAGAACAACTTCACCTTCCCGAACAGCCTCTGGTTCGGCGTCGGGGCGCTCACCCTGCAAGGTAGGCCCCCCAAATGGGAGACGGCGAATTGCCAATATCTGAAGGAGCGCCCCTTGGGGCCCAATAGAGGGCAGCTGCTAGCCAGCCTTGGCTGATGTCCAAAAACTAAGCAGGGGACATCCTCAGGGCTAGGTGATGATTTCCTAGTGGTCTCCTGTCCATGTCCGAAACAGGGTTGGATCTGTCTCGGACCTCTGCAGCTGAGACAGCTGACAATTCTTCCCTCCCTTCCTTCCTTCCTTCCTTCCTTCCTTCCTTCCTTCCTTCCTTCCTTCCTTCCTTCCTTCTCCGGCACAGGCACCGTCCCTCAGCCCAGGTCGCTGTCCGTCAGGGTCATCTCTGCCGTCTGGTGGCTGTTCGGCATCGTGGTGCTGGCAGCCTACATCGCCAGCTTCAGCTTCGTCCTGGAGTCGGACAGTGACCACCTCTTCATCCAGAACTTTGAGGACCTGGTGAAGCAAAGGCAGCTGGAATTCGGGACCATGGAAGGATCCTCCACGCTCCAGTATTTCAAGGTGGGCCAGTTGGATCCACACCTGCCCGGGAGTGACTTGGGGGAGGGGGTCTCCTCTTTTGGGTTCACACAGATCCTCTTCAGCCCCTAAAGCAGTGGTTCTCCACCTGTGGGTCGGGACCCCATTTGGGGTCGAACGACCATTTCACGGGGGGTCGCCAAACAACGCAGTCCACCATTTTTTCCCCCCTTTTCCTTAGCTGCCCTATGGTCCTAAGCGCCAACAAGGATAAATGCCCTGAGGCTTTGAACGAGGGAGTTGGTTACCCGTCACCGAAACCTTTGGCATCTCTTGATTAGAAGTGGGACTGTAATCGAATCCTGCCCCACAGAGCTCAGAGTTTTTCCGTCCCTGCAGGAAAACCAAATTATTAATGTCGATTTAAGAGCAGGTGACCAGCTTTGGGCAGCTCTCTCTGATTCAAAGGGAGCTGGATCAAATGTCCAAACTGAATTCGACCAAAAACCGGATTGAATTCATCAACGTGCCTGCTGAGAATTCTAGTTTGCAAATCAGATTCAGCAGCCGAATGAACACAGCATTTTATTTGCGCCAAGCAGGCTGCATTTGCACCCCGAAAAGGGACCCCCATTCCCGCCGGGGGACTGAAGGCTCTGCCTTGCGCCCCCAGAATTCCAAGAGTCCCGTCCAGCAGCTGGTCTACGAGTCCATGGTCAAGAAGGAATCGGTGCTGACCAAGAGCTACCAGGAAGCCATTCAGCGAGTGCTGGATTCCAATTACGCCTTCATCGGGGAGTCCATTTCGCAAGATCTGGCCGTGGCCCAGCACTGCAACTTAGTCCGCTCCCCAGAGGTGCTGGGAGCCCGAGGTTTCGGCATCGCCACCCCAAAAGGTAAGACAGGGAAGGCTGGGGAGTCTCACACACACACACAACACACACACACACACACAAGTGACACCCCCTGATTGAGCAATAGAGTTTAAAATGCACGGTCCTAGATCAGCCTTTCTCAAGACGGGAAACTTTTAAGATGGGCGGGGGCTTCAACACCCAGAATGTGTGGCTGGGGGATTCTGGGAGTTGAAACCCACCCCTCTTAAAGCAGTGTTTCTCAACCTTGACAATTTTCAGGCATGTGGACTTCAATGCTGGCTGTGGAATTCTGGGAGTTGAAGTCCACATGCCTTAAAATTGTCAAGGTTGAGAAACACTGCCTTAAAGCATGCCGGCTGGGGGATTCTGGGAATCGAAGCCCTCGTGTCTTAAAACCTGCTGGCTGGGGGATTCTGGGAGGTGAAGCCCACCCCTCTTAAAGCATGCCGGCTAGGGGCTTCTGGCAGTGTTCCCAAGGTTGAGAAACGCCGCGGTAGACCCGTTGTGTGAATGCCTGCACAATCCAGCAGACCCACCACCGTCTCCAGAAGATCTTCTGAAAGTTAAAGCTGAAAAAAAGTTAAATCTCTTAGGATCCCCCTGGACCAGCAAGCTCTCGGTGGCCATCTTGAAACTCGGGGAGTCCGGAGACCTGGATTACCTGCGCAGCAAGTGGTGGGAGAGCAGCTGTCCCCACGAGGAGCACGACAAGTGGAGGCCTCTGAAGCCCCAGGCCCTGGGGGGCATTTTCCTCCTGCTGGCGCTCGGCCTCCTCACGGGAATGCTGGCGGCCGTGTTCGAGCTGTCCAGACGAAGCCGCCGCACAGCCGAACGGGAGAAGGTGAGCCTAGCCCTTCAAGAGCGCACGGGCCAGTCCTCGACTTACGAACGCGACTGAGCCCGACCTTCCCGTCGCTAAGCGAGACGGTGGATCTTGCTCCCTTTGACACTGTTAAAGCGTTAAGCGAGCCTGGCCTCTCCCCCCCTCGACTCCACCTGTCGGAAGGTCGCCAAAGGGTGGGAATTGCCTGACCTCAAGAACTTGCAACTGTCATAAGGTCCTGCCAGTGGCCAAGCCTCGAATTTCGATCCCGTGACCCACAGGGCCGTTTAGTAGGATAAACAGTCGCAAGTCATTTTTTTTCCTTTCTGATCCTGTTCCTGACGTTCTCAGAGGCTGGATTTTAAAAGGGGGCAGGGGGGCACTGGAAAAAAGATCTTTTCACCTCATTTCCCCCTCTCTTTCGCCCAACCTCAGAAGTCCTGCTGCTCCGTGTTCACCCAGGAGCTGAGCCAGCGGTTCCAGAGGCCAGAAATCCCGAGGCAGGGAAACGCAGAGAAATCAAAGGCGTGAAGAAGAAGCAGGAGGAACCCATGGCCAAATTTTCAAGGAACTCTTTTCTTTTTTCCATCTCTTTCCTTTTTTCCTTCCTACGCGTTCTGTAAAAGCACACTTAGGCTATTTTTTTTCTCCCCTCTCCAGTAACGATTTTTATAACCCTTAGCGGAGTTTTTGGCAAAGGTAGGGCACACATCTGGGCAAAAAATAAAAAATAAAGAAAACTAGCATAGCTTCTCGATGCCAAGGCAAATCCTTCCTCCCATTAGACCACGGCGTCATCAGCTAACCCCGGTTTCGGCATCTTAACTTTTCTAACATTCACCACGGTAGCAGTTGTGGCCCGACTGATTTTTTTTGTCCGGGGAGGCGGGGGGGGGGGCACAGCTCGCTGTCCTACCTAAAGAGAAGACAGGGAGGGTCCCGGTACGTACAAATTGAGAAGGGGCTGCCCGCCGAGCTTCGTGATCGCAAGGACAGGTTTCTAGTCCTCATTGACAGATTGTCAGGCAGCGTGCCCGAGATGGGGGCGGTGACTTTCCAGACAGTTCCTTGAAATTCCTCCAGAGGGGCGGAGTCAGAATGTAAAAAACGTGCTAAATTTGTGAGTGGGGATCCTGTCGGCTTTTTTCCTTGGCCTAGATTTCATGATAATTAGCGGAAATTGTACACACACACACACATACCCATTGCAAAAGGAAGAGGGTCTTTTTTTTTTTTCCAAACCCCACCCCTCACCGGTTTAAAGAAGGATCCACACACACACGCACACACACACTATCTCCCAGCAAGGGCGAAAGCAATGTCTCTCCTGGATGGAAATCAAAGTCCTCCCTGCAAGGTGGGACAGCACAGACAGACTGCAAGCACAGCACAGGATCGGTGGGGGCTTCTAGGAGTTACAAGTGACTAAATAAAAAGAATATTGTGACAAAAATGGTCTTTTTTTCTTTTTGTTTAATACCGCATTACACACCCTTTGTGTTTCTTTGGGGTGGGAGAGTGGGGGGGGCACTTTGGACCACGAAAGCTCCTCTGTTGTGACACCCCTAGCAGAACGTCTTTGGTTTATGACGGACGGTCCAGTGAGAAAGCTATTAATGGATGCCAGTATATTGATCTGGAAGGGGCGTTTTGGGATTTTGGACCAGATCAATCAATTCTTCTGCCTTTTAAGTCATCATAAAACCTGGCTTTCTTTCAACTGACATTAGACTAAGAACAGACCAGCATCCCTGACTCATCCTGCAGGTGAAAGTCACTTTGCCTGGGCACTTAGCCCTTAAAAGAGGTTAGGGTGGTGTGTGAGAAAAGATTGCCCCCCAGTGGCTGATTTTGGTAACAGCTTATGTATGAGACACAAGACCCATTCAAAAAGCTGCCTCCCAGTGGTGAATTTGGGAACTGCAGACTCAAAAATTAATGGGAAAGGGGTATCGCCTCGTTGGCTGTATACTCTATACTGTGTACCGGGGTAGGCAACCTTGGCTCTTTTATGACTGGTGGACTTCAACTCCCAGAATTCCCCAGCCAGCATGGCTCAGCTTGGAAACCTCTCCTTGTCCCTTCAGCACGGCTGGCTCAGGAATTCTGGGAGTTGAAGTCCACAAGTCATCAAAGGGCCAAGTTTGAAGATCCTTGCTTGTGGACTTCAACTCCCAGAATTCCTAAGGGGAAAGAGGTTTCCAAGCAGAGCCAGGCTGGCTCGGGAATTCTGGGAGTTGAAGTCCACCAGTCATCAAAGAGCCAAGGTGGCCTACCCCTGCTGTATACAATAAGACAGTGTTTCCCAAACTTGACAATTTTAAGGCATGTGGACCAACTCCCAGAATTCCACAGCCAGCAATGCTGGCTGTGGAATTCTGGGAGTTGGTCCACATGCCTTAAAATTGTCAAGTTTGGGAAACACTGCAATAAGGAAACGTTTCGAGCCACTCCTACGGGCATCCAGCTTGCTTTCAAGTGCCACGGCCCAGCCCGGGTGGGGAGGGACTGCAGACCCCATCATCCCCATCCCCTTTGGTTGGCTCTGCTCATATAGCCTTTTGGTAGAAATCCATCCTGCCTTTTTTCCTGGGTTTTCCTTCAACCCGACACTCTCCGGCATGGTTAGATTCCAACCTCCTCCTCACGCGGGCTGAGGATCATGGGATCTGCAGTCCCTCCCGGATGCCAAACTTAAGCAAGGCGTTAAAACGGCGCTTCCTTTCTCCCTCTTGGACATGCCGCCTGCTCGCGCATGCGCACCACGCAGAAGCCGAACCGCTTTACCCCCTCCCCTCCAGGGGAAGGAAAAAAAAGAACCCCCGCCTCCTAGCAACGCGACAGCCAATCCGCGTCGAGATCCTATGGCGGCCAAACACAGCTTCCCCTGAGGGGAAGCGGCAAAATGGCGTCCGAGGGCGCCGCTTCTTACTGCGGGGAGATGAAGGACCACCGGAGGAACGGTGAGGGGCCCGTCCCGGCTTCGTGGAGGGTTGCTGGCTCTGGAGGAGAAGGAGACGACGAGAAAGGAGGCCCTGGAGGGGCGTCTCCCCCGCGAAGGGCTCGGCCGGCTCCAAGTGGAGCCTCCCGGGGCAGGAGCAGTCTACCAGAACTGGCAGGCCTCGCCAATTCCAATCCTCAGAATTCCCTCCCCCACCCCCTGTTTTTTTAAATTTATTTAATAATTTGCCTGAGGTGTGTGAGGTTAGAGAAGCCTGCGAATACATATTTTTTGATATATATATTTTTTTACTTCTCTTGCCTTTTAGGTTATGGACGTTACGTTTATCCCAACTCCTTTTTCAAGTACGAAGGGCAGTGGAAGAGAGGGAAAAAACACGGTAAGGAGCCAGAAGGTTTGTGTTTTTATGCAGCATTTTGTGACCACCTTTTTAAAAATAAATAACTTCATTTTTATCCCGTCTTTATTATTTTTATAAATAGCCCAAGGGAGCAAACACACTTAATACTCCTTATTCCTCCTGTTTTCCCCACAATACAAACCCTGTGAAATGAGTCGGTAGGCCAAGAAATAAGATAAGATAACCTTTACTGTCATTTTTTATTGTGGGCACAACAGCACACCTCAAAAATGAAATGTAGTTGCCCGCTCTCAAAGTGAAACACATACATGACACACACCTAAACATACTATGTACAACATATGTATAGGCCCGCACCCCTACATATACATAACAAATAAATATTAAATACTGTCTGTCTTGAATATATAATATATATAAATAGCATCTTACCTAAGGTTAGCCAATACGCTGAGTGGCTAAACAGGTTTCTAGACTACCAGGCAGATCTGAGTATTAATTGGATGCATCTGCATTTTTATTATTGTTTATTATTGTTATTAAACACTAAATTATTTAATAAAACTATGGAAAATGACCAGCAAGTTAAGAAAAACACTGAAAAGAAGCTAAAAACATATTCTGGTTTCTCTATATAAATCTTTCATCTTTAATATAATCGCTTTTTGCAGTGGATCAAGATTTCCGATGTCTGTTTTATCGTCAAAAGGAAGCAAAGAATGGTCTGGTCTTATCATTCGATATTTCCAAAACGAGGTTTATTTGGTGGAATATATTTATACTCTTGACCATTAGATGGCATCAGTGTGATAGCTTTTCACACCTATAGTATTTCATAATCTATTGGACTAATAAAATAAGGTAGTCTTTAAAAGGCTGCAAAACTTTTTTTTTCCCCAATAGGCTAATTTGACCCCCTCACTAGAAATTTGGAAAGCAGGTATCGTGCAGTATAAAGGGTTCTGTGTAAATTGAACTACTGACTTCAGCCGGTGTAAAACAAAAGGTGATCGTTTTCTATGAATTAGAAAATCAGAATAACAGAGTTGGAAGGCATCATGGAGATCTAATCAAACCCCCTGCTTAAGTAGGAGACCCTAGAGTATTCTGGACAAATAACTGTCCAATCTCTTAAAAACTTTCAGCAATGGCCACCCATAACCTCTGGAGGCAATTTCTCCTTAATTCTAGGTTAGATCTCTCTTTGATAAGCTTCCATCCAGTTACTTCTTGTCCTGCTTTCAGATGCTTTGGAGAATAGGTCAACCCACTCCTCTCCCTCAAATACTGGAAAACTGCTATCATGTCATTCCTAATCCTTTTCTCTAGAGTAAATATACCTAGTTCCCTCAACCATTCCTTGTATGTCTTTGTTGCTCTTCTCTGCACTCTTTCTAGAGTCTCAACATCTTTTTTTGTATCATGGTGACTAAAACTGGACACAGTATTCCAAGTGTGGTCTTGCTAGTGCAATATAAAAGGGTACTAACACTTCCAACTTTCTATCTTTATTAACTCTCAGCTTTATTAGTGACTTCATCCCCTATGAAATAGAGCATTTCTCAAGAGTCTCCTTTGCAAAGAGAGCTCAATAAATTTAAGATTTTAAGCCAATCAAATGCTCTTCTTTACCCAGAATGTATTCAACTGATCTTTGTTTTCCAGGACGTGGGAAATTACTGTTCAAAGATGGAAGTTATTATGAAGGTGAATTTGCCGATGGAGAAATTGTTGGCCATGGACTCAGATACTGGGCATCAACAGGTTAGATTTGTGATCGGTGCCTGTTCAAACAAACAAACAAACAAACAAAAGACACATGGACTGTTTCTGTTAGTGTTGCATTCAGTGCCTCCACCCCCACTTTGGTATGTTTTGTTCCAGTCTCCCTTTTTGTGGATTTTATATTTCTTGCCCTCTCGGTCAGCCAGTTAAGCCTGTTTAGCCCACATTCAATGTTTTAGAGTTTTTTTTCTATTGCGTTTATTGTTTCCCTAAATTTTGGCATTCTGCTGAGTAAGTCAACATTCCCCTCTTGAGAGAGCAAGATGGTAGGAAATAAAATTGCCTCTTTTATTGTATCGAGTGGATAGGAGTAGGTGTGATAAGAACCTCACAGCTGTCTTCCAGATCTGATAGCTAGAAATGGTAGGCTGACACAACTTGGGAAGCCTGTCTTATAGGATAGGAGGCTGTGTTGCTGTGAGTTAATAAGTACTGAAGCACACCATCCTTCCCCAGGTATGCGTGCTGTTCAAAACCCAAACTGAACATAGTAAAATCCCTGCACGTTTCACACTAAAGATCCAATTTTGTTGCATTCTACCTAGAAATACAAACATACAGGTTAGCCCTTGACGTTTAGCGACCATTCAGAGGCAATAAAAAAGGGACTTACGTCCGGTCCTTCCGCTTAGAACCATTGTGGCATCTTGGCAGTTAATCAAAATTCAAGGGCTCGGCAACCGGCAGGTCAATTTAACGGGAAGCATCCTGGGGTCACGTGATCACCAGCTGCAAACTTTCCAGCCCCTTTCTGACAAGCAAAGTCAAGGGGAGAAGCCGGATCTGCTTAACAACTTCATGATTCACAACGGCCATGATTGGCTTAGCCACCATAGCAGAAAAGGACATAAAATTGGGCGTGATTCCCTTAACAAATGCCTTGCTTAGCTGTTCGGATCCCAATTCTGATCCTAAGTGAAGTCAACCTGTGCACCATTGCACGTGAAGTGGCAAAAGCAACCTCATCCTTGTTAGGATTACTTTGAGATTCAGTCCTACTTTGTCCCAAAGGACTCTAGGCTCTCTTTTAATTATATTCAGCATACCTCCTCCTCCGTAATGAGGAATTTGAATGAACATAGGCCATCAAAAAGCTGTTAAGTTGTCTATGAAATAAAAGTACTTCATCTTAACCGTTAAAAAAAAAACCCTCTGAATCTCTTTTGTTCTTTTCCTTTTCTTTTGCAGTAACGCTAACGTCTTTTTAAGATACCTTAGTTATGAAAGACCTGAAGGAATAGCAACTCTAATTTCATTAGTTTGTAAGATAAAGACCTAATGAACGCTTCCTTTCTTCTTGAAGCTGTCCTAATAATAATAATAATAATAAAAAAACAGCTGGTAATTACTCACTTGGAATGTCTCATGCTGAGAAAGGCACCGTCAAAATCTTTATGGGAATAGCAAGGATTATTAAACTGCATTTGCCAGAGCTTCCCTTGAGTTTTACTTTATTGTATTTTTGATCCAAGGGAATACTTATTCCGGCCAATTCCTCTTTGGAGAACTTCACGGGCACGGAGTTTTTCATTATGGAAATGGTGGCAGATATGAAGGAGAATTCTGTTACGGGATACGAGAAGGTAAACTGGCAAAATCCACCTATCTCGGGTGGGATTCATATGTCGTGCGGCTTTATTTAAACACAGTTGCTCAACAAGCTCTGATACTCAGGTTTACGCACATAGGGAAGCCATCAAGAATTGGCACAGACCATCTTTGACGTGGCGTGAACCCAAATTAACTGAAAACCCTGTTGATCGATCTGGAAGACTGGGAGAGAAATCTCTTGGTCAAATTTATTGGTGGGTTAGTTAATTAGTGGAGAAATTAGAAGGTTAATTCTCAAAATAGGCTTGGCCTACGAAGATTGCATTAGCACTCCAGTCTGGTCAAGATATACTGATTTATAACTAGGGTACAAGAAAACCCACGTTTAAGGGAACTTGGAGGTCTTCTAGTCCCAACTCCCTGTGCAGGCCTACTTCCCAGGTTCGCTGATCCCTTCCACCAGCCATATCCCAGACTACAGCCAGGATCCCACAACTGTTAAACAAAAGGCAGCAACCTCTGCCACAAAGTGGAAGGACACAAAAACAGTGACACAAGAGCAATGTCTTGCTTTTATCATGGCATCGGACGCAAGCACATAAGTCGTGGCCCTTGCCTAATGGTGTTATCCTGCATGTGCACAGTCTGCAGGGGAACAGTTACTGCTCTCCATCTGTGTTTGGGATCAGCTCAGCCAGGTAGTTAATGTTTCCTTGGATCAACATTTCCCCTTTGCACAAATACCTGTAATTCACAAGAGGAAAAGTTGCTTTCCTCCAGCAACAAAACATAACATAATTGGCAGGTTTCCTTCGCTGGGGGTCCTCTCCTTTCCTCAACCATTTTAGTTTTCGCTTTCAAATCAGCCAAGAAAATGACAGTGTTTATGCAGTAATCTGTGATTTTAAAAAAAAAAACTTTTGGCATGGTTTCTATGTAATGCAAAGTCTTCTTCATAGGCTACGGGTCGCTGATAGGAAAGGATGGAGAGACTTACCAAGGAAGCTTTCATAACAACAAAAAACATGGAGGAGGGAAAATGAAATTCCTGTAAGTTTCTCTGATGATTTTGTGAGGTCTTTAGCTGCATTTTTTTTCAGGAAGGAGCAATAATCAACATCCCTAACTGGTCACAGAACCCTGGAAGAGCCAGAGCAAAAGAGAAGCCGAATGTAGTGTATAAGCAATTAACATGGCTTAGTCTGACTTATTAAAGCGTTCTCTTTCCCTTTGTTTCCCGTCATGGGACATGTGTCTGCCCTAGCCCCATGTGTGAACCAACCTTAGAGGGGTTTCATGCGTGACTTAAGCAGGTAAACGGCGCTAAAGAGACCAGGGCTTTATTTTGTATGCCGTTACAATCCATGTACCAAGTCACGTAAAATTATTCTCCTGGCTCTGTATTTTTAGAAATGGAGATAAATTTGAAGGTGACTGGATCCTGGATCAAAGACAAGGCCACGGAGTCCTTCAGCAGCCTGATGGAACTGTATACGAGGTATGAGAACATATCTTTTGGTTTTCCTTTACATTTCCTAACTATTTAAACACCATCCCATTGGCTCCATTGACACAGCATACACACCAGACACAACCGAATATGGCAACAGTATTTGTGGTCCTGTGATGTGGTATAAAGGTGGAAAATTGAGTCAGTTCACCACAATTCAGCTTGATAGGGATTAGCATGATTCATGAACCCATTGCTTAATCTGCTTTGTGCTTAGTTTTAAACTCAACTCCTTGTGCCCCCCCCCATATACATAGGGCTGAGCCTGGGTTTTTAATTGATCTGGATTATGCATTATGGTCTGACTTACTTTTGTTTACTTCCATTGTGGAGATGGGCAGTTGGGCTCATGTGTTGAATAAACCATGAGTGAATTCCCTCGACTGATCCTGTAAAATTGATGCTGTAATCAAATCTATCCGGTATCTCAATGGCGAAGTTCTAATACTTTTAACAATTGCATTTAAGTGGACTAGAATATTATCTGGTTTGGAATACTAATGGATTCCTGTTATACAGGCAGCTCTCCTTCTTGTAACTGAGGCTGTGTCAGTGTTTATGCTGAGTTAGGCAACTCCACGTCCTAGCCAGGTTTTGGACTACAACATCCCATCACCCTATATGCCATTCATCCTGCTGGATGTGAGCTGGAGACCAAAGTTTCCTATTTAGTGCCGAGTGATCCAGAAATTGCCTTTTTTTTTTTTTTTTTGCAAGGCTAAGATGCCTTTTCTTTGGCATCCCCTCACAACACATGGCTTGTCCGGTCTCATTATTCAGAACGTGCGTAAATGGCAATCAGGCGTAATAATGCAGGAAATTAAAAAATAGGCTCCCACTGTTGATCTGCTTTCAGACCAGGGTTTCCAAGGCCAGTTGAGTATCCACCGATCTAAGCTGACAGAATTTCACACCTTTTCCAAAAATGGAAGGGCTGACTCAGGTGATGGACAGCCCTTCTCCAAATGGCTCCAACGGACTGGTTTGAAAAGGATGCTGCTTTCTCTCCCTAAAAAGACAGGGTAAATGAATATAAGATGGTTGAGGCTTTCTAGAGAGTGGCAAGGCCCGAGGAGCCATTTTGCATTGTTCTCATTGTTCTCAATATTAGGCAATCAGTCCTAATATTGAACAATGATTTTTCCCTATTGGCCTTGTACTACTCACTTGCACTAGATTATAATCTAGTGAGGATTAGTTTTTTGCCAGTTTGAACTCTTCAAAAAGACATAATAAACATAGTTTGTTTAAAAAAATAAATCGAGGGACAATGATCCCGTGAGCGCACTGGTGTATTTGTGTGTAACACACGGCACTGGTGACATCTTATTGTCTGAAATTCTTGTGGCGAGATGGCAGCAAATAAATTTAATAAATAATGCTGAAGCATTTCTAACAGGCAACAAGAGGTAAAATATCCCGTAGTGTTGTTGTCTTGTTTTCTACCACTTGGTGGCTCCCTCACATTCATTTAAAAGTTTTTGAATAGAGGGGAAAAAAGGCATATAAATATATATCTATATACAAGATTCTGGGATCTTTCTGTATTTGAACCTGGAGGCAGATAAGGCCAGGGGAGGGGGAAAAAAAAGACTTTTTTTTAGAGAACTATCTTCAATTACTGTACAGATCCTACCATTACAAACCAAAATGACTGCTAATGGAGGGAACTTATGTCGTGGAAATAGAGAACGCCCGGACAATATATTTGTGTTTTTTTTCTCCTTTCCTTCAGCATTTACTCGCTTCTCAGAACAATCCTTATGAAATAGGTTTTGGTCAATTCCAGGATCAGGAAAAAAAAAGAGAGAGAGAGAGAGACTGCCTTTTTAACTTTGCTTTCTCTGCCATTGAACATCTTGGGGCAAAGAGGCGAGAAAAACCATAATCGTGTTCATTTCTGAACGTCTCTGTTTCTCCCCTGCCCCAAAGGTCACCAGGTCCCCACGGCTTTTAAAAGGGGCCTGATCCCTCTGTACGGGTAACCAGATGGAGCTTTTTATCTGCAGAGGTAGCACAGGGCAGAAGATGGGCAGCCAACATCTCTGCGTGCTGCAGAGGCATTGGGTCATCTGTTTTTGGAAAATGGGAGAGAGGTTTTTGGCAGCTGAAGTGACCGGGTACGATTTCAAGGCCTCCTTTGGCTGAACACGCCGGAGGCCCACTAGGCAAAGCAGAGGTAGCTTCCCACGTTTCGAATAGCGTGCTGAGTCTACCTGAAGACTCACAGCCTAAAGTGACCTGGTGCCCCATCGTCCACATCCAGCAGAGAAAGGGGGCACCGATGCTGACGGGGTAACAGAGGACAAAACCCAGTGATGAATCAGAGAAAGTACAGTCAATTTAAAAACCACCAGAGAATCAGGATTTCCCAAACGTTACTTATCCCGTTGGTGAGTTCTACCACATCGTAATGTATGTAAGCTAAGGCTGCCAGCAGACATTCTTGGAGGATTGCTCATAGGGAGCTTGTGGGGGGGGGGGAGAGAGAAAGCTCTTATCCCAGTCTGTTCCCTGAAATTTGAAGTCTGCAGGAGGGCAGGCCGGAGAGGACCCCAGCAAGACTGTGCCCTAGAATGATGCCGCGTTTCTCAACATTGGCAACTCTAGGTGGACTTCAACTCCCAGAATTCTCCAGCTAGTTGGAGAAAGCCGTAAACTCTATTGGACTACATCAAGTGAAGGGAAACCCACCATTTCTTGAGCTAAAATTTCCCCTCTTTAGAGCAGGGGTCCCCAACCCCCAGTCCATAGACCAGCACCGGGCCACAGCAGGCCAGAAAACCGGTCCGCGCAAACAAGCAAAGCCCCATCCGCAGGATGCAGGCAGTACATGAAACCAGCCCCCCCCCCTTCGGTCCACGGAGCATAGAACAACTCGAATAGTGCAGGGTCAGGAGATGTAGAGCCCGCCGAGAGTCGGACGCGACTCAGCGGATCACGTCCCCGCCATCCTCTCCTGCTTGTCCCGATGGGATCCATCTGGAGATCAGGCACCCAGAATAGGACCTTACCAATTCATTGGCAGTACAATTTCCCCCCCAGTTTTGAAAGCGTGGTTGCAGTTGCCTTTGGCTTTACTACAGCCATGTCTCCCTCTTGGCTACAGTTCCCAGATTCTTTTTTGCGACTCGCAAATAACCTCACACCTTAGCTCCCGGCAGCTGTTTAGTTTTGCAGATAACAACCCATGTCTTCCCAGGGCTTCTACTCTACATAAAGTGTCACCGCTTTGATTGCTATCAGCACATTTCCCAGATGTGTTTGAAGTGGCCCAGCGGTTGCTCAGTTAAAAAGCCGCCCTCGTTTGCGTTTATTTACGTTTTCTACACATTTTGAGGACGGAGCATTTGTGGCTCTTGTTAGTCATGCTGTTGATGTCTTCTTCTCCCACAGTCTGCAAGCCTCATCTACAGCTCTGAAAGGCTGCCAGACACGCTAGCTGTTTGGGGTAACGGAGGGAGGCTACCCCAGAAAATGGTTCCTTTTGGAAATTAGCATTCATGTCGCTGGGCAAACTTGAAGGACAGAGCTAGTGGGGCTCGTCTCACGCCCGGATTGTTGGTTTAACTCCTTTGTAGGCTTAGCAGCTTGGAATCTGGTACAGGACAGACTTCCTGTGGGATGTTTATTTAAAAATATATCTGGCATCTTTCTGATCCATTTGGTTGGGGGGAGGTAGGGATGTTTTGAGGAGATCAGTTTGAACATAATCCAGGGGTTGGCTGGGAGAGAGTGTCTGGTTCAGGCTAAAGCCTGTTTCTCAACCTGGGCAACTTTTAAAGAGGTGTGGACTTCAACTCCCAGAATCCCCCTGGCTGAGGGATTCTGGGAGTTGAAGTCCACACGTCTTCAAAGTTGTCCAGGTTAAGAAACTGGCTTTACTCTGAACCAGGTGCTCTCTCTCTCTCCCTGCCAACCCCTGGATTATGTTCAAACTGATCTACTCAAAAGATCCCTACCTCCCCCCAACCAAATGGATCAGAAAGATGCCAGATATATTTTTAGTCTTTTATTCAAAGCACTGGGAGCAGATAACCAAGCTCTTTCCCTGCTGAAGACCGGGATAGAAACGGAATCTAGAACTCTATACTTTCTCCTTTTGCTCCTCTAAGAATAATGCTCATAGCCTACCCCTCCTGTTTAGTTTCCCAAAGACCCATGAGGTAGACTGTGCTGGACAGGGAAGATCAGAACAAGTCTGAAGGCGACTGGGCTTGGGAGCATAAAGTTGAACGGATCAATAACCTAAGCTATAATACTGTTTGTTTGCGTTTAGCCTAGTTTGTTGCACAAACCTAGCCCCTGGATTTTTCTCTACCATTAGTTTTCTTTCCTTAAGCCACAGTTTAATAATAACGGGTTTGTTTTATTTATTTATTTATTTTAAAAAAATTCTACTTTGCCTGAAATGTAACTTTAGTTATTATTGGGGCTTGTTCAACAGAGCAGAATCAAATCAGCCAGGCCTTAGCTTAGCGCACAAGCCAGCCATTTCTCACCTTCCTGGTTTTTCTGCTAGCAGAATTTAAAAACAGCTTTTTCAAAGCCTTACATTCCGCGCGGTGGCTGTTCCTTCAGCTGAACAAGTGGCAGGGCATTCCTCCTCCATCCCTCTCCTCCCCCCCCGCCCCCTGCCCCCATTTTCTGACAACATTTCTCTCCTTGCAGGTGGGAAAGAAAGCCCATAAGGTGACCCACCTGTTTTGGTGTTGTTAACAGGTGTCTCGAGCAGCAGGTCTTCCTTTTGGGAAGTTAAAAAAAAGACGTGGCCTAGCCAAAATACACAAAGCAGCAGCAAATAGGGGGAAAAAAACTGCTCCGGAGCATCTGCTAACGGAGAATTGCACCGAAGCCAGCGATGATCACAATAGTCTCAAGCAGGGTGGGACGGAGAGGTTGACAACCCCACCATTTTTAGGTGGACGAGCACCTGCTTCTGAATAAGGTCCCTGCTGTCTCCAGCTTCTGGGAGCTCAGGGAAGAGCTGACGGTTGACAAGCCAGGATGGAAATTACAGGGCTGTAGCTTCAACACACGCAGGAGGCAGCCGTCCGTTTGCCCCCCGTGTCAGCAGAGTTTGGGGAGAGGTGAAGGTGCGACGGGTCGCAGCCAGTCAATGGTGTTTGTTTGTGCGCAGGATCCATCAGGCAGAGCTGACGGAAATGATACGCTGTCGGAGGCTTCCACCCCGATGCAAAATTAATTGCAATAAGAGGTATAATAGCTGCTCGGTTAGAAACAGAAACACTATCAATTAAGCGAAAATTGCTTCCTCAAAGTTAAATACATGTTTCTTGCCTTTAATTTCACAACACCTTTTTCTTATTTATAAGCAAGAGAGACTCCTAAGCTGCTATTCACAGTGCGCGTTTCTGATATAAATATATAGATATCTATATATTACATATATACATATATACAATATTTCACACACATCTACCCCTTTTGCATCAGAAGCAGGAGGGGAAAAAAAATATCAGTATAATTGCCCCGAATACAATACGATACAGCTGCCTCTCAGTAAGGTAGCAGAATAGTTTCTCATTCATGGCTCTTAATGCAGTTAGTGGTAAATATGTATTTATATCTCCATTTAAGGATTCAAAATCTGAACGAACCAAGGCAGCTGGCCATCTTTCTTTCTTTTCTTTTTCTTTTTTAAAAAAACAATTACATATATTTGGAACAAAGGGAAATGGCTGCTTTAAGAAAAATGGGAAAGTAAACCGGGACAGAGGCATCTGTCTCCATTTATTTCTGCCCGGTCGGTAAGACTCCCATGTCCTAATAGATCCAAATACATCCCATAGATTAGGAGCCAATGGATCCTAATACATCCGATGCACGTAATCAACAATTACGTGCATTGGGAAGCAGATCTTCCCTTTTGCAGCCCCTACCCTCTGCGATAGGGTTTCTCTCTCCCCCCCCCCACACACACAATATTGGCTCACACCCTAATGATTAAGGATGGCATGAAAACTGTCTTCCAATGTTTGAGGGGCTGTCCCAGAGGAGAAGGGCTCTACCCCTTCTCCAAAGCACCAGAGGGCAGGACAAGAAGCAACGGAGAGGGATCCAAATTAGGAGTCATTTCCTGACAGTGGGAACAGTTAATCAGGGGAACTGGCCTGCCTCTCCCGCAGTTGTTGGTCCTCCAACACCGGGAGGCTTTCAAGAAAAAGATGGGAACTCCATTTGTCCGGGAGGGTATACGCCCTTCTGCCTTGAGCCAGGGGTTGGACTAGGAGACCTCAAGGTCTCTTCCAGCCCTCTCTGTACTAGTTGGGCCTGTAATAGTTCCCGACTGGGATTCTGTCCCAGGTTCAGATCTGTTTGGTGAGCCTCTTCTGAGCTCTCCTCCTGCCCCATCTCGTGCCTCTGATTAGACTCTGTGTGTGTGTGTCTGTGTGTGTCTGTGTGTGTGTGAATGCTTTGGAGCCCATCCCCAAGCGGATAGCAGCGTGCCTAGAGCCTTTGCTTGACCTTTAATTGGTGTTGGGAAAGACCAGATGGAAACCAACGATTGATTGACTGTAATTGGAAATCCACAGCGTGAGATCGCCAGCTACTGAAAGATTTCAGCCGGCTGCTGCTGCTGCTGCTGCTGCATGGCGGATTCTTTCCCCCCACCCACCCACCCCGACTTCTTTTTTTTTTTTCCCCTGTCTGGAAAGTGAGTGCCTAACCCACCCACCCACACCCCACCCTGTCCCCCCACCCTGCCCCAAGAGGTCTTTTGCGAGCGCCGCTTGTTTGTACGTTTGGCGCCCTTTCCCCACACGCGCGGGGTGCTTTACAGGGACGTCAGCCTTTGCAGACGTCTCCCTGCGTTAACATTGCTAAGCAACTTTTGGAAACATTTACACACACACACACACACACACACACACACACACACACACACACACACTCCACTCCGCCCCACACCCTTCTCGCCATCTGGGAAAAGAAGAACTTGGTCTAGGCAGGCAATCGGGCGGCGGTGGGGGGGCGGGGAGGTGGATTAGCAGAAAAGGGAGCCTCGTTCTGCGTCGGGGAGCAGCCAGTGAGTCAACGAATATATAAATGTGAGAAGAAGAGCAAAGCCAGCTCGTTTTTATATTTTTTTATTATTTTTTTGCCCAAGGATGATGCAAACACTTAACGACGAAAAGCAAAAGCGGTGGTGCACGCCGGCTGGCTCTTTTCCCACAGGCAGTCTGTCGCTTATGGGTGCGCGTCCTCCAGTCCGACTGGCTGGTTCACAAGGACGCAGCCGCTCTCCCTTCGGTGGGCTAAGACACATACCCCCCCCCCGAGCATCTTTATACAGTGGCCCCTAGTTGGCACTGACAGGATTACACTAAGCCCTGGTTTGATTAAGCGGGGCTTGTTGAATCAATGGCGGTTGGCTGAGCTTACGTCACCTGGTCTGCCCTCCTCAATCCTTCTGAATCCACTTCACCTGCCCGCGTAATTCAGACTGAAGCGACTCTGCATTTGGAAAGGGGCTCCCGCCCGGAGTCGGTGTGGCCTGACAGGCACATGTTAGCCTCTCCCTCCTGAGCTCCCAGGACCTTCAGAGGAGGCGAGGTGGTGCGCATACACGCACACGTATGTGCATACTGGCCCAGGGACCCACAGCTTGCTCTTTGTAGCCGGGAGCGAGCGAAAGTATTTCCTCGGAGTGCTGGGGAAGAGCCATGGGGAAAAACAGAATCTTCCCCCGGCACCTGCTTTTCAATGGCTTGGGCAGCTGCTCCCGTTCCCCCCCCCCACTCCCCACGTTTCCTCCTTCCCCCCCCCTCCCACTATTTTGGGAGACAACTTGTTGTGAGCGTAAAGAAGAGCGAGTGGCAGAATTTGAGTCTTTTGGATCCATCTGGGATTTGCTGGCAGCCTGGATAAATTTAGAGTCATAGTAGCACTTTGTTCCCCACGAGAGCCACCCTCCCGTCAGCCGTCAGCGCCTGGATCCCGGCTGTCGCACTCGGGCACCCACGCATGCGCCCGCCCGCCTCCTCGGTCTTGAATTGCCACGTGCAGCGGCCGAAGCAGGGAACCAGCGGCTTGGGCGCCTCTTTCTGGCTTGCAAAATGACTCACCCACGGGGGGCAAAGAGGGACTTGCCGCCCACCCTCCTGTTTTTTGCTAGCTCTCGTCTGCTCCGGGTGCCATTTGGGCCGTGCGGGCTGTCACCCAGGGGCCTGTGGTCGTCTTTTCTTCTCTTCAGCCCGGCCTTGGGTCATCTGAAGTTATCTGGTCACCACATTCCAGAATCAGATCAGGGATAGTCCTGCACCCTGGCTACTGCACCTAAAGCAGACCACCCCTCAATTCTGCCCCTTCCCTTTTGGCGCCCAGGAACCAGGTTCTCCCCAAATGTGTTCCTCTTCACTGCCGTACCACAGCCACAGCATCAACCTGGGTGTTTCTTTGGGTGGCGGGTCCCCCCCTGCCCGCTTCCTCACCTGCTTTTCCCACTGGAAGATTTTCAGAATTCCTTGAGAATCAGGCTTCTAAACAGATCCACCCCCCCCCCTCTCCCGGCCTTTCCCTAAGCCACCCACTTGGACCTGTTTGGCCTAACCCTTTTCTGTTTTTTTTCCTAGAGTTACCATCCAAATTGGAAAACCAATGCTCTCTTTCTTTCTTTCTTTCTTTCTTTCTTTCTTTCTTTCTTTCTTTCTTTCTTTCTTTCTTTCTTTCTTTCTTGATTCTTGCTTTCTTGCTTTCTTGCTTTCATTCATTCATTCTCTTTCATTCGTTCATTTATTTATTTTTATTTATTTATTTATGAGACTTATATACCGCTTTAAGTGCAAGCACTCTCTAAGCGGTGTACACCAGTAAGCAATGTATATATATATATTTACATTGCCCCCAACAATCTGGGTCCTCATTTTACCTACCCCGGAAGGATGGAAGGCTGAGTCAACCTTCATTCCTCCTCTCCTCCCTCCCCCCTTTATCTGTTTGAAGGGACAGTGGAGAAACGATACGTTCAACGGACAAGGCTGCATGATCCATTGTTCGGGCGTCATCTACGATGGCCTCTGGCATAATGGCTCTCCTATGGGTAAGCGCTCTGGAATTGATGCCGTTTGGTTCGTAATGAGACCCCCGGAATAATGCCCTGCCTGTCATAGGATTGATTTGATTAGTGTCGGCCTCAATTCTGTTCTCCAGACTTGTCAGGCCAAAGAGTTTAAGGGCAGCAGCGAACCCGCCATGGGGGTGGCCAGTTCTGTAGGTGGGGGAGAGGAAGCCATTTGCAGCACAATTCTGAAGCCCCAGTTGAAAGGCTGCTGGGGGGGGGACAGTCCTCTTTTCACACATCATCCCCGTTTGCGCCTCGGGAAAAGAAAAAGGAAATTTTAGGAAAATTACCAGGAGTTTGTGGTAATTAATGTAGCATAATAGATAGATAGATAGATAGATAGATAGATAGATAGATAGATAGATAGATAGATAGATAGATAGATAGATAGATAGATAGATAGATAGATAGATAGATAGATAGATAGATAGAGATAGATAGATAGATAGATAGATAGATAGATAGATAGATAGATAGATAGATAGATAGATAGATAGATAGACACAGACAGACAGACAGACAGACAGACAGACAGGAGAGAGGAAAGATAGAGAGAAGGATGTATTAGATAGATAGATAGATAGATAGATAGATAGATAGATAGATAGATAGATAGATAGATAGACAGACAGACAGACAGACAGACAGACAGACAGCCAGACAGACAAGAGAGAGGAAAGATAGAGAGAAGGATGTATTAGATAGATAGATAGATAGACAGACAGACAGACAGACAGACAGACAGACAGACAAGAGAGAGGAAAGATAGAGAGAAGGATGTATTAGATAGATAGATAGATAGATAGATAGACAGACAGACAGACAGACAGACAGACAGACAGACAGACAAGAGAGAGGAAAGATAGAGAGAAGGATGTATTAGATAGATAGATAGATAGATAGATAGATAGATAGACAGACAGACAGACAGACAGACAGACAGACAGACAGGAGAGAGGAAAGATAGAAGTATGTATTAGATAGATAGACAGACAGACAGACAGACATTTAAACATCCTAGCTTGTCTTTTCAGGAGTGGTAACCATCAAGGTCTGTTGAACATTTGCAGGACAAGCAAAGACGATGGTGATTACAGGACCAGAAGTGACTGACACAAGTCCAGGATCGGTTCTTACTTTTCACGTCCAGCTGCAGACTGATGACGGGGAGCTTGCTAAAAGTAAGAATGCTTTTTTGGAAGCTTTGCGGCACTCCATAAAATAATTTCTCAGGCTGACCAGAAAAATAGCCCTTTTCATCTCACAGAGTTAATACCCCCCAGTGTCTTTGGGCTTTTATGAGGATTTAAAAAAAAAATAAAAAATAACGGTCCTCGAGTTACAACTGTCCATTTAACGACAATTCAAAGTTACAACAGGGGGAAAAGAACCTTTTTAAAGCTACAAGGGAAGCCCTGCTTTAGAAAAGAGGGGAAGTTTTCCTGTGGATTGCAGGAGACTCAGCACGCACCTTCTAACTCGTTTTAGTTTCAAAATACTGCCGGAGAAATCAAGGCTGTCTGCAGCAGGTGGTGATAATTAAATGATTGTACCTGCCCACGTTTTTCCGGATAGCGGTTCTGTTTGTGGGCTTATCGTGAATGTGCTGTTTGTGTTGTTTTCACTTCTCTCGCCCGCCGCTTAAAAAAAAAATTGGACTATGTTCTGATTTCATCCCATGGAGAAAACTGTCTTCTTCCACCTTTGGCTCTAGCGTTGGAGTGGAAACATGCTTTGTTTTCTTTGACGTAGAAGTAGACACCGTAAAAGGGTAGGGAGAAAGATGTGGTGGTCCTAAAAGAGCATTAAAAACAGGATAGATCGTTCTGGGAATGGTAGTTTATTCTGCCCATTGTTGGGATTCGGTCGCATGCGTCTTCCAGACAGACCATGGCAAATGGAGATCTAGAGGAGTCTTTTTTTTCCTTCTTCCACACCATTCATTCTTGAGAGCATCTGTTGAAATTAAACGGGAGGAGATTCAAAACCCCGTAAAAGATGGACGTTTTGGGATCCTTGATGCTCTCTGGGTTTCATTATTCCCTTGCAGACGTTTCCTTACCGAATTAGGTAACATCATCAGTGCTAGAAGGAGTTGGGTTTACTCTCTGCTTATATAAGTAGCCTTGACTTAACAACCACAGCTGAGCCCAAAGTTTCCATTGCTAAGCAAGACAGCGGTGTCCCATTTTACAACCTCTTTTGTCATGGTTAGTGTTGTTGATGTTCTTAAGTGAATCAGGCAGTCGTTAAGGGAATCTGAGTTCCCATATTTGCTTATCAGAAGTTTTCCAAGAAGATTGCAGGTGACAGTCCCGAGATCCCGGGATGCTGCAGCCCTCACAAACACACGCCGGTTGCCAAGCACCTCGTGTGGGGAGGCCGAAACAGTCATTAAGTGTGAAAACGGGTCACTGTTGTAACTTTGAACCGTCAATACAGGCGGTCCTCGGCCTACGACCACAGTTCAACCCATAATTTCTGTGGCTGGTGAGACGGTCGTTCAATTTTGCTCCACGGTTGTTAAGTGAATCCCTGCAATTGTTAAGTGGCTAACCTGGTTGTGAAGTGAATACGAGCCAGTTGCCAAGCGTCTGAATTTTGATCACCTGGCTACAGCCGTTGTTAAGTGTGAAAAACGGCCGTACGTCGCTTTTTCCAGCGACGCTGTAACTTGGAACGGCCACTAAATGAACTGCTATAAATTGAGGACCACCTATAGAAACAAAAGGTGGACTTCTTTACACAGGGCTGGCTCTTGAGAGCCAGTTAACCCTCTACTCAAGTTTAGGAGCATCCCAAACAGATGCTCCAGGACTCTTTGTAGAACCCAGCCTTAATCCTCAGAACCTGCTGTGGGAGCCGCAGAGGAAATCATGGTTTCTCTTCACCTTGTTCTTTGATTTGTTAGGTGAAAAGGGCCGACTGCTGGAGATTGCAGCCAGGATCAGAAGGACAACCCTTCCAGAAGGCCACAAAACCAGCTCCCACGGACTGTGCGAAGCCACTGAGAAGCCAAGTTCTTTGTAAGTGGCACGGGAGAAAGTCACTGTTTGTTTGTCTCTCCCTTCCTTGAGTCTCCAGTTTGGTTTCTGGCCTCTCTCCAGGACCTCTCTAAGCCATGTTGTTGGGTGAATAGGACCCAGATGGTTAATTCAGCGAAGCCACACGCCACAATTGACAAACCATCAATTCCCTGGCTTCAGCTTAAAGCCGAGCAACGCTGTTGGATGAGGAAAGACACTTATCTGGACCTCTGGAATCGGCTCGGAGTGGGTTGCCCGATCTCCTCAAACCGTGTTAAACTGCTGCACTGTTTGTTTGAATTTGGTGTGGACCTCAACCTTATGGCTTAGCTTTTGTATGAACTAGGCTGCTGTCACTTTGCCATCAGCCCCCTTCCCCCTTCCTTAAAACCAACCCTAGCTTTGCACGGCCTGGGCAACCTCCAGCCTCAGGCTGCTCTCCTATCTCCTGGCCTGCCACCTTTTAAAAAGGTTTTTTTTTTTAATTAAAATAATTAAACAACTGGATCAGTGCCAGGCAGTGCACTATTCTCCGGCAATATTTGTTTCCAGGAATGTTTCCTGGCGGGTGGCTAGAAACCGTGCTCACGGCGATGGATATTTTATGAATAGAAACTTCTCCTTTGGCAGCTCTTTGGGACGGCGCTCACCCCATGCTTTCCAGATTCTGAATGTGCCTCTCAGTCCAGCCGGCCTCGTCTGTCATCTGAGTCAGCTTGCAAATCGCTTCTACGCTCCAGAGCCACTTTGGGTTAGGGCCTCTCCCTCTTTCTCGGCTGAATTTGGGAATTGCCTTCCTGCTATCCAGAGGTTGGAAGCTGAAAGTGTGAAAACCTGGGCAGGCTGTAACACCGGGAGAGATGCTTGCTGGAAAAAAACACAGCTGGACTGCCAGCTCATCAAGCAGACCCTGTTGTAAAAACCCTGAGTGCGAGGCTCTTCTCCAAGGCCCCTGAAGGCAAAAGACGAGAAGCAACGGATGGAAACCAATCAAGGAGAGAAGCAACCTAGAACTCAGGAATTTCCTGAGTGTTAGGACAATTAATCTCCAACACTGGAGGTTTTTAAGAAGAGATTGGACAGCCAGTTGTCTGAAATGGTCTAGGTTTTTCCCTGCCTGAGCAGGGGGTTGGACTAGAAGACCTCCAAGGTCCCTTCCAGCTCTGTTATTCTATTATTCTGTTAAGGCAGGAAGTAGAAGGCCCTGCCAGAATGACGGGAATGGTATTCTAATGGAGAATTCCTGGAAGAGGGTTAGGTTTAACAAGGTTCTGACAACTGTCCCTCTTGTCTGTTGGTCTGTCACTCTTTCTGTCAAATTTAGGCACTGCCCATCTCACTCAGAGTGACAATGCTTTTAGCCCCCCCAAAATTGGACCCTTGCAAACAAGAAAGCAGTCGTCCTGTTCAAGCCACGTACCTTGTTTTCAACCATCTTTAGAGGCAACCCTCTCTGTCCTCGGTGTGTGTTTTACTCACAAAGAGGCCAGCAGCCAGTGAGAACGTCCTCCTACTTTGCCCATGTTTCCTGCCTGTGTAGAACTGGCCAGCTCAGGGAGCCCTGAACATTTCCCGTCCTATCAGCTGCCTTGCCTTGGTGGCTTGCAACCCTCACATCTGCGCCCAAGTCAGTCTTGGCTCTGTTTTCTTTTGGCAGGAAGTTTGGGGGTCCTGGCTCCCCTTTGATGACGTCTACATCTGGAAGCCAACCACAGCCAGATGTTCCCCTGGTTGCCAGCAAATCAGGACACGCCGGGCCTGAAAGGGTCACCTCCCACGAGAAAGCAAAAGACAGTAAGTAGAGCAAGGATGACGTTGGCTTTTGAGCGCCAAGGTTAGCAACAAGTTAGCAAAGATCTCTGCAGTGCCTTTTGTACGCTAACGGATGGCTGTGAGAAGGTTTGAAGCGTGCCTGTGAAGTTTGCCCTGGCATCCTTCAGAAGAAATTAGAGAGTTGGTTTCCAAAGCCTGGGGGGGGGGGGAGAGAGAAAGAACATCTATTAAATAGCTCCGGTGTGTGTGTGGGGGGGAGAGTTCTTGAATCAGTCCAAATCTGCTTTTGAAATGAAGTGCTCCATGATTGCCTTTCAGCAGCTCTCTTGCCAAGCAGTAAGGTGGTGTCACTTGGTGGCTGACACTCGAGTTGTACGGCATGACAGCTTGTGGACCCAACCCTACCCTCTTTTGGCAGCTCCTAACCTTTGCGTCACTCAAACTCTGCCGTGGCCTAGTTCCTTGCCACCGAAGGAGGCAACCACCGAAGGAGGCAACCAGTTAATTGGAATTTTGAAAAAAACAACAACAGATCTCTCTTTGCTTTCCCATCCCCTGGTCCAGTTGGTCTCCACCTCGTCCAGGCCTCTTTTCCTTTCTTTCCACCTCCTCCCAGAACCATCTCTCAAGGTTTCTTAGAATCCCAGCGAGTCAAAACTGCCAACTTATCTTTTTGTATAAATATACATTCACTACCTATATTGTTATTTTGGCTTCCTCTAAAGGGCCGAGCTGACAGATGAGCTGACGTTTTTTTTCCTTTGTAAATACTCGGGGATTATTTTACGGGCCGGCTCTTTCTGAAATTATTCATGGAAAACCCCGAACATGGAGAACTTGGGAGTTGAATCCGAGTTTAATCGCCCTGGTTTATGGTGAGCCATAATATTCAATCCGCCCATATCACTTGATACATTGTAAATACCTGATTTGAATCTTAATTTGCTCGGCTCACTAGACAAACGAGAGAGAAACTGAGCAGTTGTAAAAACAACCTCTGCATTCGGGGCGAGAGTTTATTTTGATAGCCCCGGACGTACGCAACATACTTTGCTTGTCCTTCTTTGCCATTTCTGTTTTGGTCATATTCAATTGAGTTAGGCTTTGTTTCTACTCTCCAAGCAAAATAAATGTTTGTAAGGCCCTTATTTAACACCTGACACACACACACACACACTCTCCCCGCTTTAAATTACCAGAAGATTTAGAATAGTAAATAAACAGGCCGTTTTGGGAGTTTTCCCTTTGGGCTAGGGTTTCTGTTGTAATATTCCTGATTTTGAACAGAAAGATATTGGAGGAAAATAGGTTGAGGCAAGCCAAAGAGGGTCAGTTTCCCTTTTCCAGCTGGTACAAGTAAATAACATTTGGGGAACAGAGGGCCTGTAGTTAATATGCCAGAGCCGGTTTGTTGTAGTGGTGAAGTAGCTGGACCAGAAAGAGGGAGAATTATAGTCCTTCTTGAGGCATGAAAGTCAACAAGCTGACTTTGGGATAGTCATTCTCTCTCAGCCCAGCCCACCTCACAGGGCTGTCGTCGTTGCGGGGTAAAACAGGAGGAGGGAGCCTTAACTACATTAGTAAGGTTCAAATAAAAAAAATCTAATAACAGTTATAATTCTAACAGTTCCAAAAAATTCAGCCAATATTGTCCATAATGGTCCTGATAACATCTGAAGAGCATTAGGTTGAAGAAGGTGATAATTCTGATGTTAGAATGAGACTTTGATTAGCTGGTAAAATCTTTTAACAGTCCCTTCCTTCCTTCCTTCCTTCCTTCCTTCCTTCCTTCCTTCCCTCTCTCTCTCTCTTTCTCTCTTTCTTTCTCCATCCATCCATCCGTTCTTTTTCCAGCCAGGTTTTGTGGCTGGCTGTTTGAGCAAATGTTTGGCCCAGGACCAAAACACCTCAGGAATAACTTCTGCTGATGGGTAAATTACGAGCTCCTGGAGGCTTTTGTTCACCCTGTTCTTTTAACATGGCAGTAATAACCCAGTGATGGAAATGTACCCAGCCCTATGAACTATTGATGAACTGCCAGCAAAATGGAATTTTGAAAGGTTCTGAGCGCAGGGCATTTTTTTCCTTTCAGAAATGGCCGCGCTCGGCTTTTCTGGCTTTAAAGCAGTAATGACATCTGAAGCTGGATTATAAGTCACTTCAGAGGAAGCTCCCCCCTCCCCTCCCCTTAATATCAATTGACTACTTACCTTGATCATGCTCGCTTCTTTCATCCCCTACTGCGGAGGGAGATTTCCAAGTAAACACACAAGATGTACAGAATAAAAGGTATTATATGTTTCTCCAGGGAACACAACGCACTACAGTCACCTGGTCCTCTATAGTTTTCGTTAGCATCTTCGTAATCCAAAGAGAGAGAGAACAGACCCAAGGCCACTCATTGTTTAATTTAGCTGACGCCATCATCCTTACCCACGAGGATTGTTCCTGCGGTTGACTCCAGTTTGGATTGAAATACCAATCCAGCTGGCATACACCAGTATACATCGTTTGTGCCTGGAATTGTGGGATTGAAAGGGCAGGGACAACTACTTTAATTCTGGGTTCCTCATAGACCAGCCATCACATCCCCTCAGTTGCCCGAGTGCAGGCTTCTGGCCAGGTACATTGACACATTTGCAAGTTACTAAGTGTAGCATGGTTCTGTTTTATCGGCTCCTTGTAAAACTACCCAGTTGTTGGGAAGCCTCTAAAATTGATCAAATAAATGAGTGTTTCTCAATCTTGGCAACTTGAAGACGTGTGGACACCCAACTCCCGGGATTCTCCATATGAAGAACGATTGCAGCAACTGGGTATGTCTCGTTTAATGAAAGGAAGGACCAGGGGTGACATGATATCAGCCTTCCAATATCTCAGGGGCTGCCCCAAAGAAGAGGGAGTCAAGCTATTCTCCAAGGCTGGACAAGAAGCAACTGGATGGAAACTTAACAAAATAAAGATCTAATCTGGAACTAAGGAGAAATTTCCTGACTGCAAGAACAATTAATCAGTGGAACGGCTAGTCTTCAGAAGTTGTGGGTGCTCCAACACTGGAAGTTTTCGAGAAGAGATCAGACAGCCATTGGTCTGAAGTGGTCTAAGGTCTCCTGCTTGGGCAGGAGGTCAGACTAGACGATCTCCAAGGTCCCTTCCAACACTTATTCTTTTAAGAGGTGGGCATGCACTTCTCTTTTGTCTTTTTTTAATCACCGCCCTTGCTTGCACACCGCCCAAAGTGAAAAGAAAAGTCTTGAATCCGGTTGTCTGCTTTCTGCCCAAAAGACAAGTGAAGATGCCCAGAAATCTGCACTGGAAGCAAAAGATAGGACAACAAAAATTGCCATTGTCTTTAGAGTAGAAAATAGCCTTAATAAGAGAACAAGATTTGCAATAAATAAGAGAACCATAACTTTAATAAGGAAACCCAAGATTTTTCTGCATGCAAAATTTGTATTCTGAGCTACAGGATTAGCTGCATTGGGCATCTCGACGCCATGCAAAAACTTCAGCCTCTACTGCAGTGGTTCTCAACCTTTCTAATGCCGCGACCCCATAATACAGTTCCCCAGGTTGTGGTGACCCCCAACCACTTATACATCACTGGGTGCCAGGGACCTGGCCAAAGAAAAGGGGGAAAAAATGGCGGACAGCCTTGTTTGGCGACCCCCGTGAAATGGTCGTTCGACCCCAAATGGGGTCCCGACCCACAGGTTGAGAACCGCTGCTCTGCTGGGTATAAAAACTCAAAATTTCCCAGAACTCCTGCATCCTTTCTTATCAACTCCTGGTACCAATTTTAAGCAACGCTTCTTCACGTCTGGACTGGAAGCAACAATACGGACGCATTTGGCTTAGCCTGACATTGCTCCTGTGGAATGAGACGCATGTTCCGTGAAGGCTGATTTCCCTATGCGCTCCTTGTGTTTTTTTTTGTAAAGCAAAAGTGCAACAACGCAGCCCGTTTCCAAGCACTGACAATAGCAACCTCGTGTTATGGGCTGCCCAGTTCCTCCTCGTCCATCTGTTTTAAAGTTTACTTCATAGCGTCGTGTTTTTTTTCTGCCGCTTCAGCTCAAATGCTTCTCATTCTTTCGGACAGAAGTTGGCTATTTTGTTACATGTCTTCAACCGGGTGGAATTTATGAGACGGGGAAATAAGAGCTCACTGGGAATCGGCCCTTCGAAAACGTGCCTCTGTGCCAAGTCCACTCTTGAGCTGGATTCTTGTCGGTGATTTTTTTAGAGACAGGCAGTTGGAGAAACGTTTCCGAAGGACAGAAAGACGCTCCAGATGGTCCCTGAGGGACAGCAGCCGTGACGATTTGGGCCTTCTGTCATCTTCAAGGTGAAAAATGGACTCCTTTGCTCCTGCCAGAGATTGAAAAGTGACAGGAGAGCCGAGGGGATTTTTTTTCCCCTGGCCTCAGTGAGCTGTACCGACCTAAAAACAGCTTCTAAAGTTTTTAGAGGCCATCTAGAACGGTGAAAGGTTTTGGTGGCCTTGAGTGGAGATGGTCCTTTGCTTAACAGCAAAGGACCGTTTGAGGTTACAACATTTGAGGTTACAACGGCCCCGAAAAAGGACGTGTGGCCCCATTCCCCACACTCCTGACCATTGCAGCATCCCCATCAGGGTCGCGTGATCAAAATTCAGACGCTTGGCTCGTATTTATGACGGTCGCAGTGTCCCGAGATCACGGGTCCCGTCTTGTGAGCTTCTGACAAAGTCAGTGGGGAAGCCAGGTTCACTTAAGAACTTAACCACTGTGGCAAGAAAAGGTCATAAAATGCAGCCAAAGTCCCTTATCAACTGTCTCGCTTAGCAACGGACTGTCTCCGGTAGAAGAGAATCCTTCTGCTTTGATCCAGACTGGAATGACCTCTCCCCATCCCTTCTCTCTCTCTCTCTCTCTCTCTCTCTCTCTCTCTCTCTCTCTCTCTCTCAAAGAAAGTTTAAATATTTGTACAGTTTACTCTGGGAATAGGATGGGCTGTAAATCCCTAGCATCCAAAAGCGG